CCCCCCCCCCCCCTTTTTTTTTTTTCTCTCTTCCGCATCAAAAACCTTTTTCGCTTCTGCCCTCAAACATCCTCGATGGGGTTTTTTTCTTCGTCTCTCTTTCGTGCCCCCCTAATTCGACTTTTTTTCCTTCTCTCTCTCTTGTTCTTCTCGCATTCCCTTTCATGTTGGAGGAGAGAAAAAGAAGTTGTGTACGCCAAAATGCTGTACGAAAAAAATGTCTTGGATAAGAGAAGGGAAAAAGAGAGCTTTTGAGGGGTGGGTGGGGGGAAATGCTTGTTCTTTTTCTTTTCTTCTTCTTTACCTTCGTTGGGTTAGGAGAGAAAAGAAGGACAGACTTTTGGGCTCGAGGGGGATAAGTTGTATGGGGGTGGGGGAGTTCCCTAATCCGTGTTTTGCGGTTGTTGATGCTTTTTGTGGGTAACGCCAAAATGCGTTGGGGGGGGGCGAGGGTAGTTCGTCTGGAATGGGGGAGCGAGGAAGAGGGGTGTTGAGTGTTGCTGCGCTCCCGTTTAGGGTATAAGGATACACCCTCACGTTCCATACCCGGCAGGTAATAATAAGTTTTGCATGTGTCATTTCCCATCCTTCGCTTGTCAACCTATAGACACACTCTTCGCATGTTCATGCATCTTAACAGCCTTTTGCACTTCGTCTTCGCCTTTAACAACTGCAACTCCCACATTGATACCACGTGACTTCTCACTGGTACTATCCATGTTGAGAATGGCATTCGCCTCGGCAAGTCGCAGTCGCTCTTTTTCGGCTTCTAATTCTAGATTTGCCTTGTCTTGTCCAGTCACTACTCCCTTGAGAATGACTTCGAGATCGGCTAGGCGGACAGGTTTGATGAGGAAGAGGTTGATGCCACTGGAGTTTGCTTCTTGTTGTATGTCGGTATCTGCTACGCCGGTGAGGGCAATGATTGTGACCTTGGGAAGGTTGTGGCGGATTTCATGGGCGCGGATTTGGCGGGTTGCTTCGAGTCCGTCCATGACGGGCATATTGATGTCCATGAGTACAACGTCGATGCGGGACTCTTCTTCGTTGTTGGCGGCTATGTAGGCTTCGAGTGCCTCTAAACCATCGACTGCGAGGGTATGTTCGTGGCCGAGCTTGTTGACAAAGGTGCGGAGTAGGCGAAGATTGATGGGATTGTCGTCGACACAAAGACATCGGAGGGCCCGAGTTGGTTTCATATATTTTGACGGCTTGATAGGACTGTTGTTAATTGACCGTATCTCTGGAGCGCTGCTAGCGCTGGTGAGCTGTGGTCGAGCTGGCTCTATGACGTGCAACAAATCAGTGCGTTTGGGGAGCGCGCCCTCCTTGAGCTGGAAATCAGTGACCTGAGGCAGGGCTGGATCACTGTTGGTTTTTTGCACACTTGTTTGCTTGGCGTGACGACCAAGACACGACGAGAGAGCCTTTGCCATCTTGTGCGGGCCTACTGGCTGACTGATGCATTCGAAAATCATGCCTGGGACTGTAATGGCTGTGGTTGATTGTGCAGCTGCGGCACCTTGGCACACAACAATGACTGGTGTTGCAGTTGTCTTGCTGGGACATTGGCTGTACTGAGTGCGCAGGGTCTTTGCACAGCTTTCAGTAGCAATAATCATATCTGGTTCCCCAGTGCTGACACCTTGTTCAAAGCGTTTCATGCCGAACCAGTCGGCACAGAGGCTAATCAATGCCTTCAAACACAGCTTGGAGGCATTCTTGTTCTTCAAGTCCTTGACGAAATACTCCTCTGCTTCATTGAAACCGTCAAAGCGCACCGTTAGGCCCTTTGTGCGCTTGGAAACTTCTTGCAAGTGCATGTCCTTTTCACACTCTGGGGCAGTGGCGCCAAAGCTTGGAGACATGCGTGACTCTTTCAGAGGACATGTGACTGTGAATTTTGTACCGCGATCCTTCTCACTTCGCACCTCGACATCTCCTCCCAGAGATTCTACAATTTGCTTGACAATTGAAAGACCCAAGCCAGTACCCTGACTCAAAGGATTCTCCTGAGCAAAAGAGTGAAAAAGTCTGTTGTTGATGTAATCCTCGGACATGCCAATGCCAGAGTCGGTGACCGAGAACTTGAACTCGCAAGTCTCATCCTCGTCTTGAAACTTCCGCTTGACCTCAAGCTTTACCTTGATGTAACCGCCAGGCGTATACTTGAGACTGTTTCCAAACAAATTCATGATCACACGTCGCCACGCACCAGGTTGGGTGCGGAAGACGTAGTTGTCGCTATGGTTGATGTCGAGGATGATGGAGATTGGCCGACTGTTCACCTTGGATGCAGTGAGCTCATATGTCTGGGCCGACGTCTTTGCATACGTGTAGCCAGCAAAGACACTCTCGACCACATCCTCTGTTAGTATACTCATATCAACATCATTGATAAGTGTCATGATATCATTGGTATGGGCTCTGCCAGGGCTGATAATGTGCTTGGCGCTCTGAGTGCGCTTCTTTTGTCGTTTTGAGACGCCGCGTGTCAAGTTGTTAATCTTTGCGAAGTCGAGGACCTTGATGGGGTCAGCGTTAAAATGTGCGTGCCAAGGATGGTGAACTTACGTGGTTAATGGTCTCCAGCAGGGTCTTGCCGCAGGTCTCGATTGTCGCAACGTGTGATACCTGCTGGTTGTCGAGAGAAGAGTCCTTGAGAAGATCGGTCATTCCAAGTATGCCGTGCTAGAGGAATGCAATCAGCTTGACTATCATAATAGTTTATTAGTGCTGAGCACTTACCAATGGAGAACGAAGTTCATGACTGATGGAAGAGATGAAATCGGCCTTTGCAGCGTCTGCCAGTTTTGTATCAAGACGAGCAACCTCGGCCATGACAAAGTTACTGAACGCTGCTAGATAGCTCAGCTCCTGCTCAGTCGTGAAGATGCGCTTGGGCTCGGAGCTCCATATTACCGCCGTCGCAAACCATCGCTCGCGATGCGGGTCCCACAAGGGGTACAAGATGAGACTTCGCGCAGTGGGGAAGACTCTTCTCAGGTATGCCTCGTCATCCAAACTTCTCGATGACTCGGCTTTGCGAGGAGTACCAAAGGGGAATCCATCGGAAGACTCAAACTCATCCAAGCCAGTCGAAGGAGAATTAACAGACGGGGTCAAGGGATCCACGTCAAGGTGGAAAATCTGGCCATGTGGATAGAGACGGAGCAAGTGTCGCAAAACGCTTTCGGAGATGCATTCGCCCGTGTTTGGCAAGGATTTGTTATCGCGATCGGTCTTGCAGAGAGCGGCGCCGAGAATGTCGCAGGGCTTGTCCGGTTCGGGAAGCTGATCCGGATCGAAATCATCGTCAACAAGACCGCCGAAAGTACTGATCTTGGCATCGAAGAAAGCCACGCCCTCTGCCTCTGTCGAATCGACAATCATGTTGGCAGCGCGCGTGAAATGTGCCCTCAGCTCCGGGGCAGCCCTGTCCTTCTGATCGGGCTTGGGGAAGTCCTTGGTGGAGGTGCATGACGTTGTGGCGGTAATGTCGGGTCGGACGGGCTCAACGACTTGACTGGGTCCCAAGGTAGTAAGCTTACTGGTGGGTGAATTTGGCGTGTGTGGTGGCTGGTGGTTAGGCGGCACATTGTCGTTCGTAGGGCTACGGGAATCAATGTCAATATGATTGTGGCCATTAAGCACGGGTGGCTCCTGTCCTGTGGGTGTGGTAGCAGCAGGGCGCTGGCGTTGGGCGGCGATTGTCTCCGTCTGATCAGACCAGGACTCGGATTGATCATTGTCCCACGGATCTTGGGCCCAGTTCTCCAGCCCGCTCTTGCCCTCGGCAAATGAACCCAGACTCTTGACCATGATCTTTGCCCTGCGGTGGTCTTCGGCCGCCCTCGTTCTCTCCATGTGGCGCATGACGGTGCCGGCCATGCTCTTGAGAAAGGCCAGTTGGTGAGGCGTTAATCCATCCCGTGGCTTCTCGTCGAGGACGCAGTAGGTGCCAATGCTATGGCCCGTAGGACTGCGAATGGGGACGCCGGCATAGAAGCGCGAGTAGGGCGGGCCCTTGACAAAAGGAAAGTCGCAGAAGCGCTTATCCTTGCTCAGGTCGTTTACGACGAGCGAGGGCAGATCACTGGGGTCGTCAAAGGGCAGTGTCGTATACTTTGGGGCGAGATTGACGGTGTAATTACACAGGCTCTGCTCCTTGGGGAAGATGGTGGTGCCAAAGCAGAGGCGGTCGTCGTCAAACTCTGGCTCGCCCGTGTCGAGGGACAGGGTCTTGGTCGCTTCGGCGAGGAGGAAGCAGTCCTTGCGGTCGAAGAAGGAAATGAGGCAGCGGCGGGCATTCAGGCGCAGGGCACCCAGCTGGGCAAAGGCTGTGAGGGCCTTATCGTCGGAGACGCGGGGGGCATAGTCGAGCGTAGGCGGCGGGGTGCTTGGAGGCGTCTGTGATTGCGAGGCGGGCGAGGGCGCCGGTGAAGGCGACGACTGGCGACTGGCGGGGCCATCAGTGTGAGGGCGCTGGAAGCCCGGGCGGGGGTAGTAGCTGGGCGGGCAAGATCAGTGCCAATTCACTCTTTCACATGCACCAAACCCGGGCACGCACGTCGCAGGCAATGGGGGCATGGACGAACCGGTAGAAGGCCTTTTCGCGCTCCTTGGCCAACTCGCTGTGGTCGATGCGCCTGCGTCGACGGGCTTGAGAGCGGGCGAGGGCCTGGTCGTGGGAGTCTGACATTTGGGGGGGTTGTCGAGGTGGAGGAGAGGGCCAGAGACCAGAAACCAAAGACCAGGACCAGGACCAGGACGACCAGAGGTTTTTGTGGAGAAGGGGCTTGTCCTACCCATGTGCTGCAAGCCACCCATCTGCGCGCTAGGCCCGACGATTCCCTGGGCCGTTGGGCGCTGCTTGGACCCTGACACTCTCTGCTCTACCGCCTGTCTCGTCTCTACCGCCTGCCCCACTGCCGCCCTCACCTGCCCCTCCACCACCACCACCATCAACACTACCACCAATGCCATCACCATCAGCCTCGCTTCGCCTCACCCGACTACTGCATTAGTACACACAGACTACTTGCAATCCTCCCACTACTCCACCGCCACTCCACCGCTACACCTACGATTGCTGCTAACTCACTAACTCTCCCCCCCCTCCTCCCCCTCACCTCCTCCTCCTCTGCTCGCCACCTTATCAATCCCCCTCGCCTCCCCCTTAGGCCGCCGTTGCCGTCGCTGATCCCGCACCATGGGCCGCCTCGTCAAGCTAGCCACCTGCTCCCTCAACCAATGGGCCGTATGTCTCGTGACCCCCCGTCGACGCGGCTGCACTAACGCGCCCAGCTCGACTGGGAGGGCAACATGGAGCGCATCAAGCAGAGCATCCGTGTTGCCAAACAAAACGGCTGCACCTACCGCGCCGGCTCGGAACTCGAGGTGTGCGGCTATGGCCTGCTCGACCACTTCCTCGAGCACGACAGCATCCGCCACAGCTGGGAGCAGCTGAGCCTCCTGCTGCTCGACAGATCGCTCGACGACATTATTATCGATGTCGGCATGCCAGTCCGCCAATCAGGCAACCTGTACAATGCCAGAGTCATCATCCTGTCCGGCCGCATTCTCCTCATCCGCCCAAAGATGAGCCTGGCTGCGGGCGGCAATTATCGTGAAGGCCGCTACTTCATCCCTTGGAACCGTCCCCAGCAGGTCGAGCAGTACGAACTTCTTGAGCTCTCGCAAGAGGCCTTGGCGCTGCAGGACAGCCATTTTGTCCCCTTTGGTGATGGTATTATCAATGCTCTCGACTGCAAGCTGGGATACGAGACGTGCGAGGAGCTCTTCACTCCCATGAGTCCTCACATTGCCTTGTCCCTGGCAGGCTGCGACATCATCATCAACAGTTCCGGCTCCCACCATGAACTCCGCAAGCTCGACACTCGCATTGACCTGATCAGAGAGGCCACGGCCAAGTGCGGTGGTGGCTATCTTTATGCCAACCAGCAGGGCTGCGACGGCGACCGTCTTTACTATGACGGCTGCGCCATGGTTCTCGTAAATGGTACCATCCGCGCACAGGGATCGCAGTTCTCACTTCAAGATGTCGAGGTCGTGACTGCAACTATTGACTTGGAAGAGATTTGGTCGTACCGCACTAGCCCCTCCCGAGGCCTACAAGCCGTGTCAGCCCCGCGTTACCAACACTTCCGCGCCAACCTGAGGCTTTCATCTTCGACCGCAGATTTTGACCCCGAGCACCGGCCCACCCCAGTCCAGGCACTGCGATTGCATACCCCCGAGGAAGAAATTGCTCTCGGTCCTGCATGCTGGATGTGGGACTATCTGCGTCGCTCGGGTCAGGCCGGTTTCATGCTGCCTCTGAGCGGCGGTATCGACAGTTGTGCCACGGCAACTTTGGTATTCTCCATGTGTCGACTAGTCTACCAGGCTGTCTTGGACGGCAATGAACAAGTTATTGCTGATGTCCGTCGCATTGTGGGCCCCTACCACGGACAAGACTGGTTACCAGAAAGCCCACAACAGATATGTAACGGCATACTGCACACTGTCTACATGGGAATGTCGCAACAATCAAGCACCGAGACAAGAAGCCGTGCCAAGAGGTTAGCTGAGAGCATTGGAAGTCACCACCTTGAGGCGGATATAGATGACATTTATGAAACTCAGAAAAATCTGCTAACTAAAGCCACTGGTTTTACGCCACGATTCAGGGCCCATGGCGGCCAGCCTGCAGAGAATCTAGCCTTGCAGAACATTCAGGCCCGGACGAGGCTTGTGTCTTCCTACTACTTTGCACAGATGCTGCCTACTGCTCGAGAGAGACCCAATGGTGGCAGTCTGCTAGTTCTTGCTTCAGGGAACGTCGACGAGTGTCTTCGTGGCTACCTGACCAAATATGATTGTAGCAGTGCCGACCTCAACCCTATCGGCTCCATTTCCAAGACTGATCTCAAGCGCTTCATTGCCTACGCACAGAAGGAATTTGAGATTCCCATTCTTGGCGAGTTCCTCGATGCGACACCAACCGCTGAGCTCGAGCCTCTGACCGAAGGATATGCGCAGAGCGACGAGGTTGACATGGGCATGACCTACAAGGAGCTCGGCGTGTTTGGTAAATGTCGCAAGGAGATGAAGCTCGGCCCCTACGGCACCTGGCTTCGCCTTTCCCACGACTGGTCTGATGAGTACACACCCCGACAAGTTGCTGAAAAAGTCAAGCGCTTCTTCCATTACTACGCCATCAACCGTCACAAGATGACAACCATGACGCCCAGCTACCACGCCGAAGCCTACTCTCCCGATGACAACCGCTTTGACCTGAGGCCTTTCTTGTACCCGCCTTTTTACAAGAATTGGAGCTTCAAGCGGATTGACGAAGAGGTGGAGCGGTTGGAGAAGAGGGCGCAGGAGAAGAAAGCATGAGTTGGGTAGCATGGTCATGTATATATATGTGTCATGATTATATGTGGAATTGTAAAGATGCTAGACTACAATATACTCGATAGAAATGTTCACAAGGAAATGAATGGAGTCATAGACTCGTATCTCAGCAAGTGGAAAATATATGTACCTTCTGTGTGAAGAGAACCCGCATCTCTTTGAATCTTCAACTTCTTGATGAGAAAGTACAGATACAAAAGCTACCTACACTGGTTCTCATTGCTCGTAAAACGGGGCTTTTTTCCTCTTCGTATTATTTGTCATTTTATTGTCACCCCTAATGTCACGTGGCCAGCACACGGTACCTTTCCCACCACACCTTGCATTCCGCCCCCTATCCCCCACCCCCTCATCATGACAACCAACGTTTCCCCCATGATTATCATAAAATCTACTATGCTGGCATACATGCGAGTACCTCTACCTTCACTGCAATAAGATGCATGGAACGAATGGGCTTGGCGGCGCTTAGTAGCTATGTCTGTTTGTTCAGCCTTGTGTGGCTGATATGGGATGCCAGCACTGCGCCAAGTCTAACAGCAGCCTGGCTGCTCCTCCGGCCTGAAAGGATACAAACTGCAACATATCAGTGCAGTTCACTTCTATCACAGACCTCGCCTCATGGATGGCCTTTCGGTAGCAGCAAGCGTCATCGCAGTAATCGACATATCCGTCAAGATCGCCTCGCTGTGCGCTCAATACTCTAGAGACGTCAATGATGCAAAGGAAGATGTCGAACGCGTACAGAAAAAGGCCGACGCCATCAACCGCACACTGGAGAGGATCAAGCAGCTGCTTGATAGCCAAGACAAAACACGTCTCTCTGCCACTCAGAGTCTTTTCGACTCGCTTCAGCGATGTCTTGAGGAACTAAAAGACCTAAAGCTGAAGCTGGAGCCGGGCAAGGCTCGCGGAACTATGAGTCGATATGGCTTGCGTGCGCTCAAATGGCCGTTTAAGAGCAAGCAAGTGGATAAGATTGTTTCAAACTTGAGCGGATACGAGCAGACCTTCAACTTAGCGCTGCAAGTCGATCAGACGTAGGTCTCCACATCCAGATTTGGCATGTATTAATGCAGTGTCTCACTGAACGTACAGAACTATCATGCTCAGCTTAAATCGGAAGCTAGACCTTCCCAAACTACCTGTTGCAACAGGCGCTTGCTTCAACTCCCATGATGAAGAGCACAACGCACGATGCCTACCGAATACTCGCTCCCAGTTGCTACACGAAGTCATCAAATGGGCGAATGGCAAAAACAGCAAATGTATATTTTGGCTGAGCGGCATGGCTGGCACGGGAAAATCTACTATTGCACGGACGATTGCCCAATTATTGGATAGCAATGGCCAGCTAGGTGCAAGCTTCTTCTTTAAGCAGGGTGAGGGCGAGCGCGGCAACGCTTCGCGATTCTTTACCACCATCGCCACAGACCTGGCTGCCTGCGAGCCAGGTATGCTGTCTAGTCTTGAGAAGGCACTAAGAGAAGACCCAAAGATACCACATCAGACTCTGACAAAACAGTTTGAGAAGCTAGTTTTGGAGCCACTTCAACAAATACAGAAGCCTTGTTCACGGACCTTGGCGCGCGTTGTTGTGATAGACGCACTAGACGAATGTGAGAAAGAAGCAGACATTCGGGTAATTCTTCGGCTGCTCGCTCAAACGAAAGATATCCATCCAATTCCGCTACGGATTGTCGTCACTAGTCGGCCAGAGCTTCACATCCGCCTAGGCTTCAAAGAGATTTCGAATAGTACGTACCAAGACCTTGTCCTTCACGAAGTACCAAAGAGCACGATTGAGCAAGATATCCGTCTATTTCTAGAGTATGAGCTTGGTGTGATACGCAAAGAACGCATGCTGGCTCCGGACTGGCCAGCAGAGCAACAGATTCTGTCACTAGTTGAGTTATCTACGCCACTTTTCATCTATGCTGCTACCGTGTGTCGGTATATTGGCGGCAAAGGAAGCAATCCTACGGCTTTCCTAACCAAGGTCTTGCAGTATCAAAAGGCAAACTTTTCAAAGTTGGATCAAACCTATCTCCCTGTTCTTGATCAGCTGCTTAATGAGCAGGAAGAAGACGACAAGGAAACCTGGCTTCAAACTTTCCAAGCAATTGTCGGCAGTCTTGTCCTTCTCGCGAGTCCTCTCTCTGCTGTTTCACTTAGCCGCTTGCTTCAAGTTCCACAAGAGGAGGTTAAGTCTCAGTTTGATTCTTTGCATTCTGTTCTCCATATTCCAAACAATGAGAATGACCCTATCAGAATTCTACACTTGTCTTTCCGCGAGTTCCTTGTCGCCCCTCAAAAACAAGGAAAAATTCCGTTCTGGATAGACCAGACAGACGCACACAAGAGGCTAGCCATGCGTTGCCTCGAGCTGATGTCTGGATCACATGGCCTGCATGAGAATATGTGCAACCTATCAGGGCCTGGAGTCTTAAGAAGCAAAATTGGCAAGGGAACAATCGCTAGTAGTTTTCCACCTGATCTACAGTATGCGTGTCGTTACTGGATTGTTCATCTCGTGCAGAGCGGGCAAAACATTGTCGACGGAGATGCGACGCAAGTCTTTCTCAGCAAGCATCTTCTTCATTGGATAGAAGCTATGAGTCTTATGGATCGCTCGCACAGTTGTGCCCACTGGATAGGAGACCTCAAAACGATTACAGACGTAAGGTCTTTACAATTGCCACTTTTCCGATTTTTGACTGACGTACATTCCAGCCATCTGCAATCAAAACCTTGACTTTTCTCCACGATGCTCAGCAATTTGTACAAGAATTCGTTGATGCAATCAGAGATGCACCTTTACAGATCTACTTTTCAGCACTTCTCTTTGCGTCAGAGAGTAGTATGATACGTCAGATGTTTAGAAGCAAATCGCCAGAGAAAGTTCGGATGGTGTCCATGCAACAAGCAGGCTGGGACGCTTGTGGCAACGCAATCGAGGGCCATTCCGGCAAGATCATAGCGATGGCCTTCTCGCCAGATGGGCAGTCAGTCGCGTCGGCGTCTGAAGACAAGACAGTACGAATATGGGTGGCGGAAACAGGAATATGTCACAGCACACTAAAAGGTCATGGCTCCAAAGTCAAAGCGGTGGCCTTTTCACCAGACAGTCAACTGGTCGCATCGGCGTCTGAAGACGATACAGTACGGCTGTGGGAGGTAGCGACAGGGACGTGTCGAAGGGTGCTCGAGGGCCATTCTGACTGGGTTGAGACCGTAACCTTCTCGCCAGATGGTCAGCTACTCGCGTCAGCATCTAGCGACACAACAATACGGCTGTGGGAGGTAGCGACAGGAACATGTCATAAGGTACTCGAGGGTCACTTGGACTGGGTTGAGGCTGCAGTCTTCTCGCCAGATGGTCAACTGCTCGCGTCAGCGTCTAGTGACACGACGGTACGACTGTGGGAGGTGGCGACAGGGGCATATCGTAGTGTATTCGATGACCATTTTGATTGGGTTCACGCCATAGTCTTCTCGCCAGATGGCCAACTACTCGCGTCGGCATCTTTCGATGGGACAGTACAGCTGTGGGGAGTGGCTACTAGCGATTATCGCAGCGTGCCAAACAGTCTTTCAGGATACACTCGGTTTATAGGCTTCTCGCCAGACAGCCAGGTACTTCACACAGACCAAGAGGACCTTGCTTTGAATCAAACCAACGGTGTTCCACCGCTCTTGAGCCCACAATCGCAGCCTAGCCATCTTGTAGTGCAGAGGCAGTGGATACTGCGCAATCAGCAACGTCTTTTGTGGATTCCAGCAGAATATCGAAAGTATAAGTCTGCGGCATGCAAAGACAAGGTTTGTTTCGAATTAGAACCCGGCCGACTACTTTTAATCAAGATTCTTTAGCCTTGGAAAAGAAACAATAATCAATCTCAATACCACACATTCAGTCAACAACTCAAAACTTGGCAACATTCAAGATCATCATAAATTCCATTTTTTTCCCTTCTCTTTCTCTATTAAAATGACATAATGGATAACCTTTAAATGCCTTTTTCCCTTCCCCTAACGCGCCCCCCCTTCCCTTCCCTTCACGGCCAGAAAAATAACCACATAAGTAACCCAGAAACACACACACACACACACACACAAACTACAACGCCTCAATCTTCGCATGCATGACATCCAGCCTCGAAAAGAACGCCTTGCTCTTTTCGTTCAAGAGAGCGAGGGAAGAAAGGAGTGTTTGGATTCGCGCACGTTCCGCGGATAGAGAGGGGGTGGGTGTGAGATGTGGAATGGCTTTGTTGGCCACGGGCGCTGAAAGCTCCTTTTTTTGGGTGGATGCGGCTTTAGAGGCTGAAGGCTGCTGCTGTTGCTGCTGCTGCTGCTCAGTGGAAGTTGGGGGTGGGGAAGCGGGAGTGGCGTGTGTGATGGGTGCGGCTGGTTGTGGTGGGGGTGGAGATGGCTGAGGAGGTGGGGGTGAAGGAGATGCCTGCATCTCCATGACTTCTTCTTCTTCTTCTTGCTTGGGGGGTGCAAGGTCCACGGGATTTTCTTGGAGAATTGGCTCGACGGCTTCCTGGTGCGGTTCTGGCGCTGGATCTGCATCCCGCATGTCGATTTCTGCGACTTTGGCGGGGGGATTTGCTGGGGCGGGATCGGGATCGGGAAGAAACGTAGCTTGTGCTACGTGGGCTTCGTATGGAGACGGCTCTGCGTCTGCCATGTCGACTTCTTCACTCCTAAGCTCTTCGTCATCGGAAGGCGCGTCGCTGAGCTCCGAGGAATCCTCGTCGCTGGAGGATTGGTATGTGGGACCGAAGGCCCCCGTGTCCATTTCTTCGCCGCTGCTTCCGTAGGAAGGGGAAGAGGGGGGGAGGTAGGACGAAGTGATGTCCATTTCGTTGCCCGAATCCCTTTCTTCGGGTGGGGAGCGCATGGGAGCGGACTCCGAAGATCCTGCTTCGGAGTCGCTGGAGACATCGTCTCCACTGGCTTGCTCGGCGTCGCCGCCAGCCAGGTGGTAGATGTAGTCGTCGTAGTTGTCGAAGTCTTCTTCGTTGCGGAGAGACATTGTGGGTGATGGGTTTTTGAACGAGAAATTTGGGATATTGAAGGGTTTGGCAAGAAAGAGAGGAAGTTTGCGGGGTGGATTCTAGGATTTAAGTAAAAGGAGGGTGCCATTATTGCTATTGTAGAGTGAGCTTGCTATTGTGGATAGTATAGACATTGTGGTGCACAATGAAATGTGTTTGCTATTCTCTTGGTGAAGCGGTTTTCGTGTTCTCTTACTGTATTGTACTGTTGTGTATATGCACCTTCACGTTTCACCCCACGCGGGTCGACCACCGAGCTTGCAGATTGCTTGCTCTGCGTATGACTTGCATGAAAGTGGCTGTCACCTCAAGTAGCCATGCAGTAACTTGACAGCACATGATTGTTAGCCATGCGAGCCATTGCCCATTTAGACACTCAAACGGTCTCCGGAATCAAAATCGCATGGGTAGAGACTCATGCAGAATTGCATCATCCTCACATATTGCAGACAGCAGTTCTCTCGATCCAGAGGGTGCGCAAAATGCGTCGATGGTACCGGAGCACGATGCTTTTGTCGAAGGATCCGTTATTCAGCGAGGTTAAATCCCCAGATATGGTCTGATTCTGTACGATAGACGAGAGGATCATTGGCTAAACTGGTTTTTCCCCAGTACTTTATTGCTCCTGGCGGGAATCTGGACCGCTTGGCGGTTGGAAGTGACACGAGGTATACAGGGCTGCGGGCATCGTGCGCAAAATCCTGCAGAGGAATCGTGGTTTGGTAGATGTTGGAGTGGTTGTGCTATCGAGGAAGTTGTAACTTTGACTATATTGCGCAAGCTTTCGCTCTCGTGCTGACTGATCGCGTCACTAGGAGAGGCGCCCTAGAATAGAATATGGACAGAGAAGGAGAGCGGTGTTTTCTCGAGTCGGAACGTTTCCTCGCACTCTACTAGTGGCTAACCGGCTGACCTGCACGTCGGCTAGTTAGGCGGCCAGATGTCAGTCGGCCCTTGTGACTCCCGCCGGGGTTCTAGACTCTGGACAAAAGGGTACTGTTAGCGTTCCCAAGCAATCAGCATACAGTTGGAGGGGCGTGCCATAGAACCGGCCAGAGTGCTGAAGTCGACAGGCGGGTGTGCAAGCCACCAATAGGACGCGTCGGCAGTGCAATGGCCAGGCACCCCAAGTTTCTTCTGTCACTTCAGCCACTTCTGGAGGAGATCAGTCCGACCCTGTGGACGGCTGGCCATCGGCGCTATCGTCGACTTCGTGTGTTTGCACCATCGGCGATGCAGACAAAGAAACTACTGGGGGCCCAAAGACATCGATCGATTGTCCTCGGCTCGGGCTGACGATGCTTCAACTGCCGACCACTCTGCACAGCACAGGGTGCAGGTGCAGATTTCGACATACTTACTCTGCAACGATTATCGTTGCCTCGATCAACCACATACCATCCATCATCGCCAGTGCTTCAGCGCGCGCTACAGCCACCGTTGACCCTGACCTTCCGGACCGACTTGGGTCGCGCCACGTTGAGAACATTGGTTGCCGCCGCCGCCGTCCCCACCCATCCTACATATGCAGACCATCTAGCACAGCGATATCCCCAATGCTGAGCAAAACGACGTGTTCCAAACACCTCAATGCCATCTGCGGGCCAACAGCGTGTTGCTTTCTTCCCAAAGGCTGACGCAGCTGTCCTGACGTCCAGACATGCTGCCCCCGTCTTGGCCGACCGTCCTACCACGACCGCTCCTATTCTTGACCCGGAGCATGTCGATATTCCCCTTGATGCCTGGACCCCAGAGGAAATGCAGTCTGTGTATCCAGACAAAACCGATACATGTGCCCTTTCGCCCATTCCCATCAAGGAGCAATGTCCTCGTCGGTGCCATGGCGAACGCTACCTCTTCCCCGTGCTAGCGCCGAATGAGCGGCTGAGACTGACTATGCTCTTCTACTATACCCGTGGACTACTCGAGGATCAAGAGCTCATGTCTCGTTTGCAAGAAAAGGTCCTTCTCGCCCATGAAACAGTAGGCTGGGAGTTTGTCATTACTGGTCTCTTGAATCACAACACCTACACTCGTCTAGTCACGGTGAATCTCCCGCTGGCAATCTTGCCACGCCGTGAAAGCACGTGTTCCCATACTATCAATCAAACGCCAGACGTAGGTTATTCTTGTACCTGCACACGTCTTGCGGCTAATAATTACAGAGAATATTCGCTTTGCACAATATGGTCAATGACTGGCGTTTTGAAAAGTCGCCACATGTTGAAGTAGGGGGACTGCGAGCGTATGCGGGCGTACCGCTGAAGTTCGAAACCGAGTTTGGCCAACACGTGGCTTTTGGTTCTCTCTGTGTTGCCTCAAACTCTCCCGAAGAGCTACTTTCTCCAGTGGTGCAGCAGTCCTTGATTCGACTCGCGGATGGCATTGTTTCCGACATAGTTCACAGTGCAAGGACCCGACGTCAAAGAGAACGTAGGCGTATGCTGGAGCTGATTTGTGATGCCCAACGCCATTGTGATGAGCACGCCGATATGGAGCAAGAAATTCCGAAAATAGTCCAAGAATTCTACCCAGGCATGGAAGTGGTTATCAGAAAAACGACGGATGGCCGCATCTCACTTGAGAGCGGGACAACTTTTCCCACCTCCGAGCTCGAACACGGTCTTTGGGAAGATACGGACTACTTTGATTACGCTGTAAAGCATCTGAATCACCTAGACATGACGGCACCTCGGGCAGTACGCGCGATTGCAGCTCAATGCGCTAGCCAGACTGTGCCGACATTTCTTGTTGTGGCTTGCAATGACTTGAAGAGAATCTTCGACGACGTCGATTCTTGGTTCTTGCAAGCGTGTGCTGTAAGTAACCGTGAAAAACAAACAATGTATTTGGCAACAGCTGATCTCAAACCCGAAACAGATGGTTTTGTGTCGCTTCTGGCAAAATCGTGCACTTCAAGAGGCACTTGCAGTAAAGGAATCCTTCCTCCGTGGCATCACACATCAACTCCGAACTCCGATACACGGCATTCTCGGTTCCGCCGAGCTCTTGACAGAAGTTCTAAAGACGCGAAACGCTGCCCATCCACCCCCTACATGTCCGCTAGCCGTGAAACCTGAAACAGAGCAACTAGATCTTTGTACCTATGTTCAGACAATCAGGACCTCGGCCAAGGAGCTCATTTCAACCGTGAACAGTTTGATAAAATTGAACCAATGGGCAGAAATTGCCCAAGCGGAGCGAGTCATGGCGCTTCACAGGGTTTCCGACATCGAGGCTGCCCTACTCCACGAGGTTTTAATGGGATTACCCGATGACTTATCTATCCGGCCATCTATAATGATATCGCACCGCTTTCCAAAGCGCTGTGACATGCTGGTAATTGATATTCGGGTTTTCCTAGACTGTATCCAGCCGCTCGTGGCCCTTGCTGCCCAACAGTCTGCTGGTGGAGTCGTGGCAGTGACGTTGACGGTGGAAGAGGATTACCAATCTCTCGCAGTCGACATCTACTACACCAGACTCGACGCAGTCAGGTCTCCCTCCGAATCATTGAATGACATTTATACTAAGGATGACTTTACTACGGCTGAATCTGCTTTAGGCTTGACTATAGCGTGCAAGGCAGCAGCACTTCTCAACGGAGAGGTCGCTGTGCTTTCTTCAAAGCATGATTCAAGCTCATACTATAGAACTACTTTCAACAACCCTATCTGTGCAAGCTCTCTTTCACCACCTCTCCCGGTCAAGAATGGAACGACTCGACTCCCCCAGAAATTCTACCGCCTCGCATCCGAATCGCCAATGTCGTCGCTAGGGCAGCATTTTAGTCACTGGCTTTCGAATACTGGCTGGTTAGAGTCAAAGGAAAAAAGCGAGAGTCTTGTAATTGTGGACTACCACTCGGATCTCGTCCAGTTTTATCGGCAATTGGCGAGTGTCGGCACGGAGCAAGTCATTATTTGCCTTGTTCCTGAAAATGCAACTTTCCTCGACTTCCAGAACAAACGAGTAAGACGGCAAGAGAATGCGGTATACATTCAGGGGCCATTCTTGACTGAGCAGTTATTACAAGCAATGGAGCTCGTAACGGCGATTTTGGTCGAATCCAGGCGGCCGAGCATCAAACCCAGAGAATATTCGTTTTGTAGGGTTGTTGCCGAGCCTACGCTTGTTTCGCAACCTCAAGTTACCGCTACTCAAACAGAACAATTAGTAAAACAGGGCTCCATATTCCCCAAGAAGACGCAAACGCAGCTTGCAGAGTCGTTACAAACTTTAAGGTTACGACCCAAGCCTTCCTTACCTGCCGGAAAACTGATTACAAATTCGAGTAAACCGCGGGCCTTACTCGTTGACGACAACACGGTCAATCTCCGCTTGTTGCAAATGTATTGCGATCGTCGCGGCATTCCATATCAAACAGCAAAAGATGGCCTTCAAGCTGTCAGGATCTTCTCAGAAGCAGTCATCACCAGATACGATCCTCTACTGCAGCGAGACGTATCTGCGACAGCGTTCGACCTGATTCTCATGGATCTGCAGATGCCAGAATGCGATGGAATCGATGCAACTCGGCAGATCCGGCGATTAGAGGAGGAGAATAAATGGGAAAAGAGTGTCTTGTTCATTGTCACAGGCCAAGATTCTCCCACCGATCGCAAGAATGCAGAGGAAGCTGGCGCTGATGAGTTTTTGACGAAGCCACTAGGACCAAAGGTGCTCGATCAATGGGTTAAGAAGTGGTATCCGGAAGCCGGACTATGACCGAAGTACGAATTTCAGTAAAACACCAATTTTCGGAACCCGCCCATTGAGTTTGGAATACGCCGGGCCATAGAAGATGCCCAGCGCTCCGCTGTTGTGTCTCCTGTCGAAAGATTGAACTAGGGGCAAGAAGTCCCCCGCACCAGTTTAACAGCTTGGAATCTAACCAACTCACCTCTGGAATGATAAAGTTATCTGATCGTTTTTCCACTGCTAGGCATTTTTGCATACCTCTGTTACCATTATGTATTAATTACTATGGGTTTTATAGTTGGAGGGCATAAGGGGAGTTGAGTAGGCATAATACGTCTTGCCAACACTACATAGTCTCAAAAGACATAGTTTCGAACCGTTGGCAAGCTCCGCTAACAACACCACACTAACCTGTGTCTGAGCTGGGAGATTAAATCTCGCCACGTGATTCCGAATTTCTTCGCACTTGTAATATTTGTATCCAATCTCTCGCCCCTCTCTCTAACCATACCACCGCATTCTGCCAAGATCAAGGGCCAGCATCAGCCAATGACGCCCCCTATACACCGTTCTCTAATCTCCACCATCCTAGACATCAAACCTTGTCCCCCCCTTCGCCATGGCACTCTCATGGGTCGCATACACCTGCATCGCGATCCTCCTTGCCTCCGTCTACCTCCGCAAGCGCCTAAGCAACCACACATCCCAGTTAGAACGTGATGCGCAAGCCGAGAAACCTGGTCGCCCACGCCACAAGGATGGGCTAACTGCATCTGCGCGCCAACTTCGCGGCAGACTCGTTGCTACCATCCCGCACATCACCGTCACACCCGATAAAGCTCTTGAATTCGAGAAGTCGGTGAATGCGTACTGGGACCGGAAAGCGTGTGAGGTACATCCCTCGTGTGTAGTGCGGCCGCGTAATGTGTGGGAGTTGGCACAGGCCGTTAAGATACTCCGGCAAGAATTCGATCGACGGGTTCAGCAGAGTGGGGATTCAAGAGAGGAGTTGGAGCCGGTTTTTGCGGTGCGAGGGGGAGGTCATAGTCCTGTTGGTGGTGCGTCGAGTATTCAAGGTGGGGTGCTTATTGATCTTAGTCTCTTTGACAAGGTTGTCCTAGCAGAAGATAAAAAGAGTGTGGCGATTGGTGCTGGATGCCGATGGATCGATGTTTATGCCGCGCTAGAAAAATATGGGCTTGCGGTTGTGGGAGGGAGGAATTGTGCGGTCGGTGTAGCGGGATTGACGCTTGGAGGGGGTTTATCGTTTTTCTCGCCTCAGTATGGGTTTGTGTGCAGTAATGTTGTTGGGTATGAAGTTGTTCTCGCGGATGGATCGGTTGTCACGGCGGATCAGCACAATAATACGGAACTTTGGCGTGCACTGAAGGGTGGAGGAAACAATTTCGGTATCGTTACTCGGTTTAGTGCTCGTACGTTTCCGTGTACGAATATTTGGAGCGGATTCGTCTACTACTCGTCTTGGAAAACCCCGGAAATCCTTTCTGCATTCCACTCTTTCGTTGCGCGCACCACGTCCGGCGAAACAAACGACAGCTTCGATCCTCACGCCGCTGGCCCGCTGGTTTGCTTTACCTATCTCCAGTCCTACGGCATCCAAGGCATCGCCGTGAACCTCGTACATACGTCACCAGATCCCAAGAGCAAAGGCTGGCCAAGCACCTGGCTCAGTTCTGGGTTCAAAAGCACATGTCGATTCTGGAGCACGTGCAAGGTGCGGACGTTAAGTGAAGCGACAGATGAACTGAATGCATTGAATCCGCCGCAACGCCGCCAGGAATTCGCTACAACGACGATCAAGAATGATTTGGACACTTTGACGGCAACGCATACGGCGTATTGCAATGCTATTCAGAAAATCCGACAGCACAATGTCAAGGGAGTGTCTTGGACACTCGTGCTCCAGCCACTGCTTCCTATCTGGACGCGCAAGGGCGACGCTAACCTCATGGGGCTTGACCAGAAGGACGAAGAATCCTTAGTCATTGTAAGTTTCACAGTAAACTGGACCCTGAGTAGAGACGATGAGGTCGTGCAAGACATCACAAGAGCCGCGATTGAACAGATAGATGCGTATGCCCAGAAAAGGGGGACACAACATAAGTACCGATACATGAACTATTGTGCAAAGTGGCAGAACCCATTCGACGGGTACGGAAACGAGAACTTGGAATCTCTTCACCGCGTTAGGAGAGACGTTGATCCTGAGGGTTTATTCCAACATGGATGCAATGGAGGATTTAAACTAGGCATGTAATTTCAACACCATGGATTTCAACAGTTCCCATAGCAAAGCTAGGGAATCGCACTCGATATTCACGACTACTCTATGCACTACGCACTCCCGACTCTCATACCAAGTCCATTTGAACTGCTTAGCAGGTCCCATTAGCACAGCACGTAGGCGAATCTGGCGCACACCCATTCTCATCACAATTGCACGTATCCGTTTGCGCATCCTCTTCAGGATCCGAATCCGGCCAGTCTTGATTCGTGGGGTCGTCGTCGCGCTCGTTGCGGGGGCCTGAGAAGCTTTTGCCGCAGAGTTCGGTGAAGGCGATGTGCTATTATTTTTTGTAAGAAAAAAAATAACTAAGCAAGAGAAAAGGCTTGGGGAAGAAGGTCGGGAGGGAACTTACGAGTGCATACCACACATATGTATCAGCGTTAGTAAGGGTTTTGGTGCGTTCATTTACGTCGTCGTTTACGGCGAGGGCGCGGCATTCTATTAGGTAGAGAGAGGGAATCGTCAGTGTATTGGACGTGGAAAGCAAGGGTCATGTTCTTACGAAAAGCGTCATATTTCCAGTCTGTAATCTGCGTGCCGAGGGCTTCTTGGCCGATTTTAGGGTAGTGCCTGTGTTGCGTGAAAGACAGCGTTAGCAACTCTTTTTCCTTTTTGTGTTCTGAAGGGAGAATGAAAGGGGTATGGGAGGGGGACTGAACATACATAAACTCATGCAACACGTTGGATCCGATAAAGTTCTTGGACCACGTCGCAGTGCTAACCTGACCACTGAGTGCACTGCAATCGTCGGCGAGCAGGCCAGCTAGATTGTCTCTGCTCCAGACCTTGTCGCAGAAATGCATGCCGGGCTTCTTATCGCTATGGCGTTTGAAATACGCAGTCCCCGTCTTGCCATCTTGTTCCAGCGAGCAGAATGGGGTTTGGCCGTCAGCATTTGGCGCCTGACCTGCCTTTGGCTTCCAGTAATCCGTATCGTCGACGATGACGTCGCCGTTGACGTCGGCGCCTGTGCCGTCGGTGTTTTCCCCGACAAAGTTTTTGTAGACTTGTCTGATTTGCTCGCGGCCGTTGGCGTCGGAGTGCTGGTCGCCGAACCAATATTCGAGCTTGTCGAGGTGCTGTTCGTCGTCCATTTTCTCGAGCGTTTTGGCGGCGATGGTGATGGCGTCTTTGAGGCCTTGGGTCAGTTTGTCTTTGTGGTCTTGGTCGGAGACTGCGTCGAGGTTGTAGAGGGCGCGCTTGACGGCCCAGGCAGAGTTGAGACTGGTGAATTGGAAGCCTCTGAAGGGACTTTAGTGGATAAATCTTGTTTTTCTTCCTCGATAATGGAAAGTGTTTGAGCAATGTAAGATGAGGGAGAAGTCACTTACCCACGGGGATGGGCTTGAACAACGGCACAAGCAGCCGCTGCTACAAGCAAGTGTTTACTGAAGCCAACCATGATGAAGTTGAACAGGGAAAAGGCGTTTGTATCTACTGAGTTGATATTATGATTTGCGAAGTGATGCTCTAACAATGTTGCGCTGGACGGGTTTAAATACACATAGTAGCCTCAACACGACGACAGTATCTCTTCCCATTCTGAGGGTAAACATCCTGGATTCTACCGAAGGAATGGATGTTGGCGGTACGAATGGCCCCACGACTGAAGGCTGAGTAGTATCCAGATGATACAAGGAAGGTCTCTTGACCTGAGACTGTAGGAGGCCTGATAATATCACGCTCAAAGTTATGGGAAAGTTCGCTCGATTTAGACAATGCCATGCAACTCAAGCCTAAAGAGTATCAGGCGGCCAGGAAGTGATTCGGGGCCTCCCGGGGAGAGGCATCCAGTGACGTATGTAGGCTGTTCTCTGAATCAGATCACATACTGGGTACAAAGAAATCGAGATGGAAGTTATGGGCCAAGGATGTATATAAACTTTATTTTAGATTTCGGTGTCCGAATTTGGAGAGATATGGAGGGTTATTGCTCTCACATTCACAACACAATCTATTAGTGCTTTATGCCGGCTAGCTCGCGGTTGGAATCATATTGTATGGATTCCCCTACTCGCTTATGAGTTTACCGTCCAGCGAGTGCAGATCTAAAATCTGTTTACGAGCATTAGCTGTTTTCAATGATTAAGTATGTTCCATTCGAAAAGCATATATTTGCCAAGCGGGAGTTGTGTTGGGTGGCTGAAAGATGGCAGGAGACTCCGCCTTCCAAGATCAGTGTCGATCCTGTGTGGGGTTCAACTGTAACCTGTGGCTGTGGAGGATGCGCAAACATTTCCCATCGTCTATATATGGTGACTTATGACGAGCATAATTGAGCAGTTGCGATTGGATGTCCAGTCACAATCCAAATCTAATAGTGCTAAAAAGCTTTGCTTGCATGACTTTGATTGGAGCAGAGTATACACGGCAAAAACATCCGTCATTTTTGCACGTGGGATTGTGACTGTGGAGGCCAGAATACGATGTTGGTGTATGCGCTTGGGGCGAAGAAGGAATTCATAAAGGGTAGGTGTGTCACAAAACCCGTTTCCTGCGATTTTTAGGCCAACCCATGTCACGTGAATGGTTAAGATCTGCGAGGAAATAAGCCCCGAATCATGTGAGCACAACTGTCTGCCTTGCGCCTCGTTCCAGCCTACTATAAAGGGGCCAGAAAGGTTCCTGCTTCAGTGCGATTGGTCAGGCTGAAGGTTACATATGACGTAGCTCGCTGATGAGGCGACTCTCGCGTAACTCTACCGCATCAGAATGTTGCGACTAGGCTGTACCCTTTTTTTATTTGCTTCGTACGATACTAAAGAGTACGTGATCTCGAGCCAATCCAAAAATCAATCAAACCGGCCTGCAGCTTTCGATCAATCACCTAAACACTTCACAAAATGGCCAACACCAACCCAACCATATCGTTGTACCTAAACGGCAATCTTTCCTTCCAACTTGGCCACAAAGGCACCTCAGGCACCACACCTACTCTACAGGTTCAGATGCACGATACCTCAAACGCTGCTACGCTAGTCATCCCAGGCTATCAATCATCGACCAACACCTTCAACCCTCTTCTCGCCTTACAAGGAGGCCTATTTGACCTCTTCGATGTGAACACGGATTTACAGATCTCCGTACCTTCTAGCGACGAGGAACCTGGCAGACTAGTCGTCGAAGCCGGAGCGCGAAACCAATGGTTCGATCTCAAAATCGACACGCGTGAGGACTTCTGGACACAACTTCTCACACCAGGTCACAACTATGAGATACGCTGGCGGAACGACGGAAACTTCCCATGGGCATATCGTGGAGATGGGCAGCAAGAGTCTCCTGAGCGCCTACCGGTGCGCCTCTTGCCACGACCTATCAAGCTCAATGTGTTTGACAATGCTGCATCACCATTGCAGCTCTCAATCTCACTGCAACCAACAGCAGATACTTGCTATCTAAATGGCGAGCCACGCTTCGGCTTCAAGCTTCAAGCTCTTTCGCATGATGAGAAGACCATTACAGTGTGCTTGCACAAGACACCACTCAGAGAGCTTCACGGATTGGGAGAAATCGCACACGTCGTCGATGAGGACGGCGAAGAGGTAGAGTGGCCGTACGGTATAGGTTGTTTCGAGGGCAGCGATCCTTTCCCTTCCGACGAAGAGTTTGAGGAGCTCAAGCCCAACGTGCCATACGAGCAGATGTTTTGGCTTGAGAAGTTTGACAAGGAGACTTCAAATGGAGGAGAGCTAGAAGAGCTGGAAAGCGGTCAATCATATACTGGAAAGGCTAGCAAGACATTGCTCGGGGCCTTTTCAAAGTGGAGGCGGGGAACAAAGGAGGAGTTGTTGGCTGGTGAGGAGAAAGACAAGGAAGCAAGATGGAGAGGAGTTAGTGATCAGATGCTTCTGGACATCTCTGATCCATTCAAGTTCAAAGTGATCTACACTGCAGAGGTCCCTCACGATGCGATTACTAGATGAAAACTCGAGGTGTACATTTTATTTCCAACCGTGCACTCACTTGGACATTTACTAGCGTATGAACAAACTCAGTATTGATTGTTGGGGTAAATACTCAGAATATCAGACTCGCTCATGATGTTCCTCTACAAGATGGAGGCTAATGGGGTGGACCTAGCGTTCTGCAACGTTGAGGAAAAAGGAATTTTCACGTGCATTGGTGCCGCACGTCTGCCGCTCTCGCCCGCACATGCAGCCACAGACGATGCCCGCGTTGACGCTCACTACTAGATGTGCTTGAGTGATAGCAACTGCTGGGGCCCCCTCGTATTCCGTACACACTTTCACTTTTGACAAGCCACCGAGTTCGCTCCAAAGGAGCTTATTATTGAAGTTCTCCCTATGAACGTTTTCACACCGAAGGCGCGCCGGCGCATGCACAGCCGCGGCTCGGCCTTACAGGGTTGAGTCTCGGGCGGTCTTTTTCAATATAGGATTTCCATGTACATATTTACTTCACGGCAAGACGGCCTTATTCCTACAGAGCTCTAGCCTATCAAAGGAGAAGGATACCCGTAGGGCATCGAAGGAGCAAAATGGGCATTGCGGTCGCCATCTTTTTGACTAAACCGGAAAGTTATCCCTAAACCGGAAAGTTACCCTGGCCACAAGCCCACGGGGTCCGCGCGCATCCGGATCATGTTGAAGTGGATGGGGGCTAGCTGAAGGATGAGGGTGGAAAGGTATTGTTATCTCCATGCCATGATTTCAAGCCAGTAAGATGCTTCAGTGGCTCATAGTAAGAAGGTATACACAGCTGCTGTTACGGAGTCAGCGATCGTCAGACTAGATGCGGGAAAGCCGCCATTTGGTTGACCAGGCATCCTGACTGCGCCGATCTTGTTGGCATGTCGAGACGAGGACTACCGAACAAAGGCCGTAGGTGTTGCGAGGGCTGTCGCTGCTCATCTGTCTGGTGGCGACGGGACTGCTGCATGGACACGCAATAACGGCCCACGTAGTAACTTCCTCTTAACCCATTCGGACGGGTCAATATCGTGATGGCGGCACACCCACCATAGAAAGCCCGGGCATGTGGAGGGGGTGGGAGGAATGAATGTATGAAGGACTCAAGATGGAAAAGATAGGTAGATCCAAGTGCACAATTGTGCCTCGAGTTGGCAGGAATCTCCAAGTGGGTGTGAACCTGAGGACTGTGTGTATTGTAGTCGCGCGTCTAGCTCATGGGAAGCCAATACATGCATCTGGGTCGCGCGAAGTGGGTGGCATCATTCGATGGGAAATAGAGTTTGGACCAAGAGCCGCATGTTCTAGAGTGTCCACACTAAAGCGGGGTAATGATACCTTCAGCGGCAGAGCAATTGGGTAGACACAAGTCATTGTACAAGGCCGTGCTATCACGTGGCCGGCAGTCGACTTCACCGACTATTCCCACGACGAGGATGGAGCTGTGAATGGATGGGAGGATTTTCAGCCCATGGCCTAAGGCCTGAATATGTGGGGCCGAAGGCATAGCCTGCACTCGGAACATACTGCCGCTGCAATGCACAGCAAGCGTACCAGGACGGAGAGATCGCCTGTCGATGTTGATGTGCTGACAGCCATGGGCATGTAGGGTGAGGGGAAGCGCACAAGACGCCGAGTGGGATGCGTGGTGGGCAGGACGTGGGCGTGATAGCACCAGGCATAGCCAGCCCAAGGCTCCGGACAGGCGCAGCGTGAGGAATCAAAGTGGCTGGTCTTGCCTAGTGATGCTTGATGCGAACTAGTGGATATTGCGGGATTTGCAGATCGTCAGAGGGATGCAGTCTTAGCGGAGTTGGAGTGCGCATTCGATCCGCTATCACTACACGTGTCTGGCCGGGACCCTGCCAAGCCGCTAAGCACAAGTGGCTGACTCGACATCCTACATCGTGCTACCCGCACTGCGCACGCCCTGCACCAGTAGCCACAACCACAACGAACAACATCGTGGACCCGACCTCGGCGACGGACATGCGCTCGCTGTCTTCCTATTGCACGGCAAATCCCCAGCCAACAGCTAGTCCGCCTAGCAGGATGCTCCCCACGCCGCTAGCTTGCACGCACCCGCCCACAGTCGTCAACCACGCTAATCCAAGCCACTTCCGGACGCCCAGGACTTTCAATCTACTCGCATACACGGCTGCCGCCGTTTATGACGCTCCAAGAAGCACGACTTCGGGTTGTTGATCGAGCGCTATGCTGGTGCTGCATGGCCAGCGCAGCACGCACACTGATACCCCTCAAGCCTCATTTGGCCTGCACTTACCACTGGTGGATGCTTACCCAGCAACACCCAAGTGAGTAAGCCGAACGAGAATTTCCAGAAACGCACCGTCCATATGCACATCCATCTGGCGTGACACACCAGCAGGATCGGGCGACTACTGCCGCCCGCCTACGCCTGTTTGTGACAAGCGAGCCGTGCCGAACGGGTTCAAGCAAATGCCTGGCCTGAGGCCGCTGCTCTGCAGCTCGTCACTTTGCCGAGCGACCATCGCCGACAACAACTAAACTACGCAGCGGGGTGCTGTGTGGATACTCGCCACTGCCTCCGCTGGTAGTGACATCGTCCCTTGCCTTGGTGCGCGACTGCAGTCAAGTTAGCCCAAAGCCACACACCCTGGACTTATCACAACCGAGCCCGACATCGATCGGGGCATCTGCTTAGATTCTACACTACCCTGTCCTAAGACTCTTCTACATTCGTACGTAAAAGGTCGACTGGCAAGGCTTCCAGCCACAATCAGCGCATGCATGGTGTGCCGTAGTGGTCCGCCTTGGATACGAACCCACCACCTCGGCCGGCCCATCTTCTGTATTCGGAAGCCAGTGCCATCCACGAATACAGTACTATTCAAGCCACTTGGCCGAAGGAACAGCAACTTGGGTCTGGGCATCATGTTGACGAATGTAGAAAATACCGGGAAGTCACCAGTAGTGCATTAGCTACGTATCGGAAAAACTATGGTAGGTCTGTGGAAGTGTGTATGCACAACACTACTTCTCCACAGGACCGACCAGCTGTCCACACTTCCGGAAAAGTTTCCCGTCGTTCCACCGTCTGCCTATGTTGTTTTATGCATAAATTTGCAAAATTAGTCCATGAGTTGTATCAACAACGAGCTTTCAAGTATCTCGGTAGCTAGTTTCTAGGTTGACAGTTCATCGTCATCGAACACTTTGAATCCTGGCAAGAATAAGCAATTGAGCGTCACAACGATGGGCATTGACTCGACCCTTTTTCGGTGCGCACATGACAATCCAACGAGTCCATTTGTGTGCTCGATGATCGTCGAGCCTAATGTGGTGTTGCGGCATGGCGGCAGCATCACGGTACTGTCGTGCAGACTGCAGGTGATGACTGTCGGGTCGCCATATTAGGCTTGATGACCCCACTTCAAGCCGAGAGCAGCCACCTCTACATGTACTTGTACTGATGTGTGAGCCGGACGGGAAGTCCAACGAATAAGCACCAAGTCAGTGCAAGCGGTGGGGTCCTATAGACGCACTGATGAAGAATGCAACCCTCGAGAGCCGAGACACAGCCACACTGCGTTTGTCAAGAATGACTAGGCCAAAATCCGGTAATCGATATTTTTGCTACATAATGCATTTTTTTCATGCCATGGACCAATAGGTACATATCGCACCGTTTTTTGACATGCGCTACCACACCGCATCACCCCAGCTGCTAAGCCGGCGGCACGATCATGCGTTTTTAAAAGACGTTGTCCCTCTAGTCTACCAGGTTCTTAAGTACCCCCTTGTACCCCAAACATCATTCTGTTGCGTGCCGGTAACATGCAGAAGCCAAACATGTTTCACAATATGTCTGGTCTTTCTCTCGAAGACCAAACCCTGGTCTCGAAATTTGGATATGGTCCAAGACTCACTGTTCCCTCCGAGACGGTACACGAAGCCTTTGAGCGCATTGTTGACGAGCATCCTACCGTCGTGGCCGCAGTTCACCAAGGACAAAGCATTACTTACCTACAGCTGGACCTCGCTGCCAACCGTCTCGCACATCATCTCATCAGCTCAGGTCTTCGCCCAAGGCAAAGAGTATGCCTTGTCGTTCAAAGATCGATAGAGATGCTCATCGGCTTCCTGGCAATCCTCAAGGCTGGTTGCCAGTATGTTCCAATCGATGGGGGCGTTGCTTCCGACCAGGCCCTACAACACATCTTCGAAGATACCGAGGCGAGATTCATTTTGTGCCTTCCAAGGTACTGGGATAAAGTCAAACAGTTCGCGAGCCCGGACGCTATCGTCCTGGAATTAAACATGAACACTGGAGCCTTCTACTCGCCCTCGAGACCGGGCATTCAGGTTACCGCAGAAGATGGTCTCTACGCCATGTACACATCAGGTAGATTCTCTCATGGGTCTGGAATCGATCACTGGCTAACAGCTATCAAAGGGAGCACTGGCGTACCTAAAGGCGTCGATGTCAAACACGGCACCAAGACTAGCGCTCTACTTTCAGAGCCGGGGAAGCTGGGAATCACAGTTGGCTCAAAGGTTGGACAGGTCTTGAGCATCTCTTTTGCTATGGGTAAGCTATGCACTGCTTGAGAAAAAAGTCCGATTGTTCTAAACGTAGTGCAGGAGCATGGGAAATGCTGGCCTCTTTGATGAATGGAGGAACATTATACCTCCGGGGATCCGACTGGGAAGCGACACTGAAACAGGTTGGTACAAACAGTTACTACTCTTAGCCAACTCCCAACTAACTAGCTTTGCAGATCGACACGCTAATATGTACCCCATCCATCCTGTCCAAGTACGACCAACAAAGCTTTCCGAACATCAAAGTGCTCGCCGTAGCAGGCGAGGCGTGTCCGCAGGCGTGAGTACACCACATGTATTACAAACAGCGAGTATACCAACTAACATATGCTTAGTCTCGCTGATGACTGGGCTCAAGGCAGATCTTTCTATAATTTGCTTGGCTCCACGGAGACCTTCTTGCTGTCTTCACATCAACATGCCAAAGGCGAGCACTTGTCCATTGGTCGGCCGCTACCAAATGTGTCATGTTATATTCTTGATGACAGAGGAGAGCCCGTGCCAGTCGGGCAAAAAGGAACACTGTGGGTTGGGGGCAGGGGTATAGCAAAAGGCTACATCAATTTGCCCCTGACTACTGCGGAGAAGTTCCAGCTCGATAAATTCGCCAACGATGGGTGAGTAGGATGTCGGTTATGTTAGAATGCGCTGACAGGTATCCAGTTCCATGATGTACAACTTTGGCAACATTGTTTGCTGGAGAGCCGATGGCTCGTTAGATTCATTTGGTCGAATGGATGACCAAGTAAAGATCAAGGTTTGTTCAGGACTACGACTGTGTCTCCGGGAATCTTACTGACCTTTCCAGGGCTTCCGTGTCGAACTTGACGGCGTTACCTCTGTCATCGAGGTAAATATTTCCTAGAATGGATTAATACTACTTGCTAAAAATCGTCTATAGCAATTTTCTGGAGTCACACGAGGTGCATCTCTGGTCATCGACGGAGTCCTTCATGGCTTCTACGCATCTTCCACCCCTGTCGACGAGCGAGAACTCGATGCCTTCCTCCGAAAACAACTACCCTACTATTCCGTGCCGGAACGATGGTTTCGCGTCGATGACGTGCCATTGAACGCCAACGGAAAAGTCGACAAGGCGCAACTTACGGCACTGGCTGCAGCAAAGAGTTCCTCCAATGCATCAGTCAAAGCCACAAGGAAGGGGCACATGCGAGTGGACTCGGGCGTTGATGTCTCAGATGAGCCTAAGAAGGTCGAAGCTCCCCTTGCCGCCATCATACATGACAGCCCACGAGCTTCGTCGCGTGACATGGATCTCGAAAAGGGCTTCGTAACCAAGAGTGTTGAGCGTCGTTCGGGAACCGAAAGCCCCGAGCCATACGAGACACTAACTGCGTTGCCGCAACCCACATTGTCGAACACGCACGCCTGGGTACGACATCGCGGCTTGATTGCATATCGCTGGCTGCTCCTTCCCGTCGTCCTAACCAACATCGGAGTCGCATGCTGGTTTCTCTACGACAATATCAAGCAACACACATACCCTCTGTCCGAGGTCGCAAACGCAACTGCGGCGAACCTCTGCGCTGCGATCTTGATCCGATCGGAGCCAGTCATCAACCTGTTGTTCAAAGTTTTTTCATCGGTTCCCACGTGGGTGCCTCTTAGGATACGGTGCATATGCGCAAATGTTTTCCACATTGGTGGTATACACGTGGGATGCGCTATTGCAGCGCTCATATGGTTTGTCATATTCGTCATCGGTGCCAGCTTGGAGATGGCAAAGAGTGTGGATGAGAGGGCCATCTCAGTGGGGCCGGCGGTACTGTCCTACTTCATCATGTTCCTGCTGCTTACAATGACCGCGATGTCACACCCGTACCTCCGGAACCGGTACCACGATTTATGGGAGGGCTTGCACCGGTTTGGTGGATGGACAGTACTGATCCTCTACTGGGTGCTCATCGGACTGTCCACCGCAGATATGGGTCGCCAAGTAGGATACTCGACGTCGGAGGCCTACCTCAGAAATCCGTCGCTGTGGCTCATCGCAGTCGCTACCTGCGCGATCATCTTCCCGTGGCTATTTCTCCGACGAGTTGCTGTCATACCCGAAGTCCTTTCTTCTCATGCGGTCCGGTTACATTTTAACTCGGATCTTGGACCAGGCAAAGGTATCCGTCTTGCGCAACACCCGCTTGGAGACTGGCATGGCTTTGCGACGATTACCAATGGGCCGAACAACGGCGGGTACTCTGTGATTGTAAGTCGGGCTGGCGATTTTACCGGAAACATGATCGACACTGCGCCAACGCATATATGGAGACGCGGAATCCCCACTTCAGGCGTGCTCCGTATTGCAACATTGTTCAAGAGTGTGGTTGTGGTAGCTACGGGGTCCGGCATCGGCCCTTGTCTTTCTATTTTTCCGTACAAGCACATCGCCATGCGCATTCTCTGGACAGCGCCCAACCACGAGGCAACGTTTGGAAAGGCAATGGTTGAGGATGTACTCCAGAGGGACCCCAAGGCCGTCATTCACAACACGCGCATGTCTGGAAAGCCGGATATGAGTCTGTTGACGTATAACCTTTACAAGGAAAGCGGTGCGGAAGCGGTGCTAGTGATTAGCAACAAACGGTTCACACAGCAGATTGTGTTTGACATGGAGAAGAGGGGGATACCGGCGTACGGGGCGATATTTGATTCTTAGGCTGGCATTGGGCCTACGCGCTAGATGAGACGACGCGCACGACTTGACGATTTCCGAGTCATGATGTTATGAGTTACACGTATGTATATATTGAATGAACGATGTTCCATGTGCAACATAGTCTTTGCACGTTGCCTCTTTGCGAAGGTGTGAGCACAACGAGCAGTAGCCCGGCGGGATTCTCCGCTGCGACTAGACACGTGAGCAGTCTTGGCAGCTGGGCAGGCCGACACGCACTCCAACTCCTAGCATGACCGTTGCCTACTTTCTGCCTTGGGTGCACATGATTTCCGCACGCCATCGAGATGCCCGAGCCTGCGTCGCTGAGAGAAGAAAAAAAAGTAAATTGAGCGTCGGATGCGCCGGTACCCCTGAGGCTGCCCAGCTGGAGACACCTTCCGTTCACATGGGCTGCTCCGCAGTCCCTTTCCCCGGTTCGGTGTCATCTTAGACGACAAGATATCATGAAAACCACTCTGGCGGCTTCTTCGCATTAACCTATAAAGGCTGCTCGACTATGGCGTCACTCGATTGGAACGCCAAGTCGCAGACAACCGCCCTATGCGTTAGCAGCTGCGCATCATCATTCAAGCTTTGCCCCGAAACATTTGCTTTTGTGTCGCCCTCCAATCTATCTTATCAAACAAAGCAGCTTATACGGGCAGGCCAGCCCTGGTCACGATGCACAGCACGATCTACTTGATCCTCCCGGGCAGGTGCATAAGGAGAGGCATACGGAGGATTGACCAAAGAAGAAGGAGATGTTGCTAGCGCCCCCAGCCAATTCGCAAAGCCGCCCAATCACGGACTTGCCACCCCATCCCCCCGCCGACGCAACTAGGCTTAACGATGTATTATCACAGCCGTTAGAAGAAGGTCGCTCGCCATGCTATGGGGCCGCACAGAATGTATAAGGCCGCTTCCTTGCCGCAATAGCCAGTCCGCCAGAGGTACTTCGTGCTTTCGCTTTCACATCCCTCGTTCTTTTTCCCAAAATACATCTCTCAAAATGAAGTACTCTCTCGCCGCAGCCCTGATTCTCCAGGGTACAACTGTCCTTGGCAGCCTTCTCCCCGTTCACTTCAAGGCACCCAGCCCTTCCCACTTCCTCGACATTGTCAACAATGGCACATACGATCTGGGCTGCCGACCAAAGGCTGTCCCGCATGAGGACGGCCACTTTGAGCTTCATGCTCTCCTGACCGAGGAGCAAATTGCCCACCTGGAAAGGGAATATGAGCACTCTGGAGAGATTTCTCTCCACCGACGCGACCTCACCAAGAGGGCTGCCGACGCACCAATCGGTACTGGTGACAGGTGGCAAGGTGGTGCCGTTACACCATCTGGTCTTGGAACCAAAGCTGCGGGATCAACAGTCAGCTCCATCATGACCCCTACCGAGATCAACTCGGCAATCAAGGGTCTTGTTAACGGCTATGGTATCAACACCATTACTCTGCCATACAAGACTTTCCAGGGCGCTACGCAGACCGCTGGATATGTTGGCGCTGGTACGGACAAGTCGCAGTACAAGCTCTACCTCAGCGCTGGCATGCACGCCCGTGAGCGAGGTGGCCCCGATCAGCTCATCTACTGGATCTCCGACTTGCTTGCTGCCAACAAGGCCGGAACCGGTCTGACATATGGCAGGAAGACATACACCAACGCCCAGGTCAAGAGCGTTCTCGCTGCTGGTATCGTCTTCTTCCCTCTAGTCAACCCTGACGGAGTTGCCTACGATCAATCCTCTGGCTCTCTCTGGCGCAAGAACCGAAACACTCGTTCTGGCACAAGCGGCTCATCCGTCGGTGTCGATCTCAACCGCAACTTTGACTTCCTCTGGAACTTCAAGAAGTTCTTCGACCCCTCCACCTCGCCAGCTTCCACCTCGCCCAGCTCCGAGGCATTTTACGGCACTGCTGCCGCATCTGAGCCCGAGACCAAGAACCACGTCAGCATCTACGACAGCTTCCCCAAGATTAGGTGGTTCATGGATATCCACTCTGCTACTGGTGACATCCTATACAACTGGGGTGACGACGAGACCCAGTCCACAAACACCGCTATGAACTTCCTTAACACTGCTTATGACGGAAAGAGAGGCCGTATCGGCGACTCCACATACAAGGAGTACATGCCCTCTGCCGATGTCACCGGCATCAAGAGTGTTGCCTCCAAGACGGCTGCTGCTAGTAAGTTTGCCCTTTAGAACTCTTACATGACATCTGAACTGACACTTGTATTTAGTGGCCGCTGTAGGTGGACGTTCATACTCATCCATGCAATCCGTTGGTCTCTACGCCACTTCTGGTGCCTCGGATGACTACGCTGCCAGCCGCGTGTACGCCAAGTCCGGTGCTAACAAGGTCTTTGGCTGTAAGTTTCGATCCTTCTACCTTGCAGCGTGTGTACGTATACTGACTTTGCACGCTTTTAGTCACCATGGAGTTTGGATACGCCACCAACTTTTACCCCACTCTCACCGAGTTCAACCAGAACATCCTTGACACCAACGCTGGTTTCATGGATTGGGCACTTGCTGCCATTGCCGTTGGAGTTAACTAAGGTGCGACGTTGACGAAAGTGATGTTGAAATGATGGGGTGATGTGGCGTTTTTGAGGGCTCGGCGGAGAGCCTGATATGATGAGTTAACTTCTATGTAAATACCCTTATATGCATTTTCAATTCCGAAAAGATGAACAATAATCAATATTGCTAAACTAAGAGCTTGCATATGCTGGAGGGTTTGGGAACTGCCCTGGTTTCATTGTGAGGTTCGAACAATCGAGCCAGTAATGATTCTTTCAGACTAACAGTTATGTCTTCATTATCACACATGAGAACTCATAGCTCCTCTCTCCGACACTTTGAACCTTCTGTCGTGATTGAGTTCATATCTTTCCATATTTTTCCCTGCATGCTCAACTATGAGCTCAATAGCTCCACAAATATCGTATTAGCTACCGTGAATCTGATGCTGTACTACAAAAAAGAAGTCCTTTCAACGTTAAGTAGCTATATTCTAGAAGCAAGGCTATTCCTAAGCTCCACGTCTCTCTTATCAATCCCTTTAAGCCTTACTCTAAGCCTCTGACATGGATAAGCGAACAGCGACTCAGCCGCACTTTAGCTGTGCCTATTTAAGCAGCGAGGCTGAAAAGTAGCCAATCGTACCTCAGCCTCACCGGCATTATATGTACATAGCCCGTTGTTTCGCCCCACGATAACCTGTAACTTTGCAGTAGCCCAGCTTTCAGGCCGCCATCATGACCCTCCGCCGCCCACCTCGTAACTGTCCCGCGTTCATACCACCACACCTGTGACGCGCAATCAGCACAGCAGCACCGACAAATGGCTGGGAAACTCCCACTGCCAAGTACTCAAGAAACAAGCTCTCGAATGTCGCCTGCGCTGAGTTTTGCGACGCTGGCGAGGACTGTTGGACGTATTACACAGGTTCTACAAGTAAGCATGCGAACATCCCTTGGCAGTGAACATCCCACCCGTCTTCCATCACTGAGCTAGACACCACCAACAATCAATCAGGAAAAGATATCGTAATCACTAACACCCCCAAAAGCGCATATGGACCGCCATAGAAACCCTCATAATCCGCTTTGCGACACTCCCATACTACCGCCTCTACCATTTCAACACTATCAATCCCCTCCGCAACCTCGCCTCCCTCGCTTCATCCTCCAACCCGGACACTAGGAAACTCCTCTCTACGCTATCGAGTTGGCGCACGAGGAAAATAAGTGAATTACAATTTACTACGATTTCTGTACGTCCTGCCCCTCTTCCCTTACCCACCACTATGCTGTCCTGCAACATGTTCCACAACCCCCCCAACCCCCCAAACCGATTTCACCCAAAGAAAAAAAAAGGGAGATTTGTTAAATGTTACACTTCACTCCCTACCATTTTCATTTACATACCTGATGATGGATAAAAGTGCACCGTCCTCGCCGCAGCGGTAATCGGCGCCTTCTCCTGGCCCACAATCTCAAACGCGCACTGGCTCACCCCGGGATTCTGGCATACAAGCTTGATTCTGTCGATTCTGGGCATTCTGCTGTCGGCGTCTGAAATCACGGTGTTGAGTTTGTTGGGGCCGGTGGGGTATCATCATCATCACCCTTCCTCGCATTTTCCACACTCGTCGCAGTTACCACCCGCACCCATATCTGGTCATGGTAATGGCGGTGGCGGTGGCAGTAATGGTGGTAGTGGTGGTGTGAACAACTCAGCCATGCAGAGATATATACCGTTCCTCCTCTCACCCGTGAGGACAAAAGAGGATGCAAGCGGTGGTGGTGGTGCAAAGCAGCACTATGTGCCTCGGCGTAAGATGGTTTTTACATGGCAAGCCCCGCTGATGTTCATGTCATATTCCGTATGCGCCTTCCTAGCCGGCTTGACTGTTCTGGTTGGCCTACCGATTCTGAGGGGGGACAAGAAGGGGGCGTGGGGGGATGAGGGGTGGAATGTACGTATCCTACCCAATTTTCATTTTTTTGTTTCTTTCCTTCAGCTATCATCTCGTGCAGATAGAGGGGTGTAAGGAATACAAAGAAAAGTTCAAAGCTAATCACCATGTGTGGGGGAACAGATCGCAGTCATGTACCTCACGGCGTTTGGGTCTGGGCTTGCGGCGTTTGTATACTGCTCGTTTTGGGTATATCACTATGTGCATGTTGAGCATGATGGGGTTGAGCGCGACGAGTATCGCGAGGTAGGGCCTTGGGGGATGTTTCCTGCTGGGTATGATTGATGCGTTTTTGGTAGGAGGAGGAATGGGTATGTTCTTTGCCTATGTTAGATGGGTTGGCGGCGATGGGAGGATACAGGTACAGCTTTCGGTACTGAATGTACTGTCAAACTCGGTTGCCTTTTCGGTAAGAGCCATCTCAGGCCATAAGTGTGTGTTTTTGTTTAGGTTCTTGGTTGACTAGTTGTCTAGTCTCGTTAATCCAACTTTCCACCAAGGTCCTCATTGCTGGATCGCTAGCGTTTCTCTAGATTCCGCTCTTCAAGCCATTTCACTGCCGTACCAGATTCAGTGGTTGGAACTACCGTCCATTCTATCCTTCGGAAAACTCTTTTGCAACATGTTCATTTTCCTTTTGGTTTCGCGGTACCGACACTAGCTCTTACGCCGAGCTTCCTGACCTCCCTCTCTTGTACCGTCATCTTTACAGTGGTACCCTAAAGTACCTTACCACCCATTCTCCTGGGTCGACATTGTTTTTCATCCCAGCACTAGCGTCGCTTTTTTCTCCTCTTTAGTCCTCATCCTCTACCGTGCACACAAGCGTACGGAACGATAAAAATCCCCCGACGGAGTATATCAAAAAACGCTAGTAAGACCCGGTACAGTAGTCGATGCAACCAGCACAGCCCTCTCCTCCCTGTCCTCCACCGATTCAGGCAATCATTTCCCCAGTCCTCCAAGCCAATGCACTGACGTCACCGCATTCTATCTTCGTCCTTCACAGCCCCCTCTAGATAAACCCTATACTCATCCCGCGCATCTTCCAAGCAATTGAACACGTAACACCAGCACAACCATTCTGCATCCCAAGCAGTAAGATATCTGGGCAATGCCACTAGTGTTTCCGGAGCACACCGCCCAAATACGTATGCGCGCGGTTGTAGAACTCGGTACGGAACTATATCTGACAAAGTTACACATTAGCACAGATCATACTTGTATTTCCCCGCATCCGAGACTTCGGTAAGAGAAAGGGAAAAAAAAGTCTGGGCTTTTTTTTCATTGGCGCCGTTTACTTTGTTTTGCGTCATTTTTCTTTCCTTTTTTCCCTTTTTTGCCGGGAGGCAATGTATGGCAGTCAAGCGCGCCGTGCTCTTTTACTTGCACTATTTGTCAGCGAAAGAGACAAAGTTTCTTTGATTGACGATCTCGAGGACCGAGCATGAGAGACGCGCGAATTTGATGTGTAATTCGCATTATTGGCTTCGCCACAACGGATGCGCTGTATTTTTTTAAACCTAGCGTATAGCAATATAGAGTGATCGGAGGACCGTTTAACTGATTACCACGTTCGATTTTCGGCTTTTTTTTTCGGCTCCGTGGGCTTCCGTGGTCAGGTTTTCCGCCATGTAGTAGGTACAGCCTCGCGTGTCGGCCCGTCTGATAGGAAAAATATGCTACTGGAAGCTTGGCCCATGCAATTCCAGACTTGTGGGGGTGGGAAAGCTGCGTAAGTGATTGGTAAGTCCTTGGCAATTTTTTTTCCTGTTATCGCATTTCGTCATCATCATTGTCGTCACTAATGGAATGAATTGGATGTGAAAGAATTCAGGTTCAGAGATAAAGAAAGAACTTTGTTGAGGTAGTCTATATGCAAAAAGTATGTACATATGCCCGAAAAACAAAACATGTATATATGTACATTCAAGAAGCGAAGGGGGGGTATCTTCCAAATATCAGGCAATCTAGAGCTCGTCATTGCCGACCCAGTTGCTGGAAGCCTTCCAGTTAACGAACTCGGGGCCGATCTTCTTGATGTCAGCGATACCGGTGTTGGCGGCATCGTTGAGAAGCTCGTACCTGAGCATCTCAGCAGCTTTGGCAACACCCTCAGCTCCGTAGATGTTGGCGAACATGAAAGGCCTGCCAACACCGACGGCCTTTACACCGAGAGCAAGGAGCTTCAGGATGTCAGTGCCGTAGCGGACACCACCGTCAGCGTAGACCTCGAGCTTGTTGAAGATTGAAGGGTCCTTCTTGTAGATCTCGAGCGCGACTTGGAGAGAAGAGGGCGAAGAGTCGACTTGACGGCCGCCGTGATTGGAAAGGAAGATAGCCTTGACACCGTTCTTGACGGCCTCCTCAGCATCCTCAACGGTCTGGATACCCTTGGGGATGATGGGAAGAGAGGTGAGGTTGGTGAGTTTGTGGTAAAGGTCCCAGGTGAGAAGGCTGAGGGACGAATCTGCGGATCCGACACTGTAGCGTGCAGCACGGTGCCTGATACCGTCACCAGGGGAATCGATGGTAAGGACGATAGCCTTGGCGCCCATCTTCTCAATCTTCTTGAACAGCTTGGTGGTGGCTGACATGTCTTCGGTCAAGTAAACCTGCTGGAAGAGAACCTGCTCAGAGCCATTGGGGCGAGCAGCGTAGATTTCGTCCATGGTCTTTGATGAGAAGAGCGAGGGCATGTAGAGGATGTTGGCCTTAGCGGCACCCTGGACAAGACCGACCTCACCTTCAGCGTTGGCATATCCACCACGAGCACATGGGGAAATGAAGAAGGGAGCTGAGAAGTTGTAGCCAAGGATGGTTGTTGGGATGGAGGCTGCAACGTTGGTGATGTCTCGTAGAACACGTGGGCGAAGTCGGAAGCGAGCAAAGACTTCAAGGTTGTTGCGGTAAGACCACTCGCCAGCAGCACCGTTGCGGTAGTATGTGTAGGACGAGACGTTCATGAAGTTACGACCGACCCATTGGAAATCGGGCAGTCCAACAAGGGACTTGAGAGGAGGGACAGTCTTATTAGCGACGAAGGCAGCGAGTTGCTGGTCAATGCCAGTATCAGGTTCGTCCAAGAAGGGCGCGGCAGCAAGAGCGCAAGTAGCAAAGGTAATGAATGAAAAACGCATCTTGGGCGATGAAGTCAGTGAATGTGGGAGAGTTGGTGATTAACTGTGAGGTAGTGGTCAAGTGAAAGCGGGCTCAAGACCTTTATATTTCATCACATAGGCGTCCAAGTCGGTAAGATTATTGCAGGGGCGACTGAGAAAAAGGCTCGACTTGGTTGCATGTACCGGATGACAGGCTACATCCCACGTCTTGGTCCGATCCCTGTCTCTTCATCATGTGTGTGTGCCATAGATTGGTGCAAGTGCGATAGTCTGCCAAGATAGCGTTTTGAAACCAATATGTGCGTCATCCTAGAAGGGCCGTCAAGGTGTTTGTCCATGTGAGCGGTCCTGACCAAAGTCTGAAGGTGGACCAGGTTATCTCCCATGGGAGCTGCCAAGATGTTCCAGAGGCAATTGCATCCACGCTCGTGTTTAGCATGAATTAGCTGCCCCAGAGGGCTGCAACGGTATCGGTCCGAAGACGCTTATGACAGGTCTGTCAGTCCAGGCACGCGGGAGATCCACCCCAAAAGTTGGTCTCCAGCGGAACGGCGCCACGATGCGGGGATGATTAGTCCGCTTGGGTAAAAACATGGCGCAAATGTCGAGATTGCTGGGCCGGGGTGTGGGCGGCGCGCGACGAAAGCGTCACTTGCTCCGGCCTCAATTCCATGTAATCTTCCTTCCTGCTTAACTCGACAACCCAGGGATAAACTGCCGTTATGCGCCGTGCACTACAAAACCGGTTCAATGGATTTTGCGGGATGCGCGTATGTATGGACATGCAAAGTATGTCTGTAAGTATTTGGGTGCTATGCGGGGAGTGCAGAGCACAAGACGCCAACTACTTGCGCACAGCCGCGGGTTCAAGCAACCCGTTTCATACAAATGGGCAAGTTGTAGCGCAGCATCGACTATCTGGCTGGACGGGCGGTATCTGCTGTTTCAGAAACTGAGCCGCATTTGCCTGGTGTGAATCAGATAATGTGGTCACTGCAAACAGCAGCTGGGTCCGAGGTAAAGCCTAGTCGGTTTTGAGCGCTATCATCGTGTGGGTTACGAGCTCGGAGACGGAGGCGGAAGTTCGTCATCCACCTGTCAGCAAAAATGTCACAGCGGATCCGGCCGAGTGTTTGTTTGGCCTGAAGGGTTTTACACATTATGAAGGACAGCTTGGGAGGTAACGAATAACGAGTCCAAGCGAGCGGGAGATGCTACAATGCTTGGCACCCCGCATATGTCAGCACTCTCTTCCAACTCACGCACGCCAGCTACTTCTCTCTCACTATCTTATTCCGACATCGCGAGTACACTGTTGGAAAACATAAACACCTCCAAGCGACGTAAACGTGCATGGCGCAGGGAACGCTGCAGGGGTACGGAGGACTTGTCAAAATCAGCCTAGAAACATCGGGAGTCCGTCTTCCGCTTCTCCACGTCATCCGCCGAGATATGTCCTCATCGAACATGTACTGTGTGTACCTATCTGTCGTATCTGTGTACTACATGTTCACCTCTGCCCCGTTCCTGGACTACCCGGAACCGCTGCGTGGCAATACTCCTCGTATCCGACCTGCCTTTACCGGATGACCCTGGTCTGATTGGGACAAATGCTTACTTTTGTGGCGTTAACGCATAGTACAATAACAGAATATGGCCACCAGGTGCGGCTAAGTGCCCTGTATTTTTTTCCGACGTCAATTTGGCCGAGCAATGTACATCGAGCCAGTTGCGCTCCAGTCGTCCCACGCACTTGTGAAATGATCCGCATCTTCCGGCTCGTCTTTCTTTTCTTCGCCAGCCCTGCCATGGGAAACGTTGAGGAGACTGAGAAAAGCATTATAACAGTTAAATGATGAACGTTAACAAACACGGGTTCTTTGCAGAATGCGGGGAGGCACGCCTAATCAGACGCAGGGGCATTTATTACTTGGATCATGTGTTCGCCAACACCACCGTTTTCGCATCGCCATAACACCACGCATAATGGCAAGCATCCTCCGCGTAGCTGCATGCCATGCGTCTCCAGCTTTTCTGAATGCGCGTCGGACAACAGACAAGGCCATAGCCCTCGTCAAACAGGCGGCCTCGAACAAGGCCAACTTGGTCGTTTTCCCCGAAACCTACATATCTGCTTTCCCAATCTGGAGCTCATTGAGACCACCCACGGATAATCACTGGCTATTCCAACGTATGGTGCAAGAGTCAGTCTATGCAGATGGTGATGAAATGGAAGCGGTTCGCGAGGCTGCACGATCAAGCGGTGTATTGGTCAGCATCGGCTTCAGCGAAAAGTCCCGCCATAGCAACGGCTGCCTCTACAACTCGAACCTGATCATTGGGACTGAGGGCGAGGTGCTTGTGCACCACCGAAAGCTTGTTCCGACTTTCTTTGAGAAATTGACCTGGAGCCCTGGAGATGGCCATGGGTTACGCGTTGCTAGCACGCAGTTTGGGCGAATCGGCACCCTCATATGCGGCGAGAATACAAACGCACTCGCCAGGTATTCTATGATTGCGCAAGCTGAACAAGTGCATATCTCTACCTGGCCCGCAATTTGGCCGACGCGAACATTGCAAAAAATCCCACCGAGCGCCGAAAATGGCGTCCATCAGGCCAGCACACGTGGAGCTAACTACGATAATCTGGCGGCTAACAGGACACGCGCAGCAGCGCATTGCTTCGAAGCCAAGTGCTTCGGCGTTGCATGTTCCGGGTACCTGGGAGAAGATGCCTTTGAGGCAATTGTCGATGGCGCGAGTCAGCCCGATGTGGTAACCGAGACTTTGCGTGCCATGCCACGAGCTGCCACGTTCTTCCTCGACCCTACCGGCGCTCCACTTCCTAGTTTCATCTACAAAGATTCGCAAAAACAAGATATGGATGCGCTCCAGTCCGACGAAGATATACTGTATGCCGATATGCAATTGGAAGATTGCATAGAAGGAAAACAGTACCATGATGTTGTTGGAGGCTATCAACGACTAGACATTTTTGATCTCAAAGTCGACCGATCCAGAAAAGACCCGGTCAAGTTTCTTTAGAGCCGCGGACAATTAACATGCCCGTCATATACTCCTCGTATTCTTACCACGTCACCTCGGTTAGTGCCTTAGAATCCGACTGGCATTACTGTTTTTTGTGTGGAAGACTGCGCCTCTCTTCAATGTTTGCACACTTCAATGCAGGTCCACCGCTGTTTGACGTGATGCCTGTCCCTATTTCTGGTACCACTGAACCTGATTTGTCGAGTCATATAACATTGCAAATTTAATTAACATATTGATGAAAAATTGAATATTCTATTGAGCTAATCTTTGTTCTCAACTTTATCAGACCACGTAAGTGCAAAATTAAATTGAACATTGTAGGGCAACAAAGCTTCCACTCGATTGCCAATATCGGAAGAGGAACATCGGAGGGACATGGTTAGAATGTCAGTCATGAACCAAGTGCCCTACCAAAAACGTGCAGATGTGCAAGAAATATTAGAATCTTATCTTGTCTATCTGTTTGTACAAGGATATACCGTTCAGTGTCCCCATTTATACTGCACTCGGACCTGCGAACAGGATGTCTCAACTACATTCACTTTCTTGGCACCCCTATTTAGTAAGTGATCAAGCAAAATCCGACAGGAACAGAATATACGTATCTAAGTCTATTGAGAGAAGCATCGCTTGATAGCGAGACTGTTCGCTTGAACAGTTCGACAAGTTATCTCGCCCCCGACTTCGCTTGTAGGAAGGTGCAGTTCCAACCCTTATCTCTCAACATCTACAACAGACGTCGGATGTAGGCGCAAATAAGCATCTTTATGCATGACCCGCACGACGATCATAATAGAAGTGCGTCCAAGGACAATCTATGCAGTAGGCCCTTGGCCATTCTACTGCTTCGGTGGCAACCTTCTATTGAAGCACTAACCAATTGCAGCAGGTACCGGTGTTCTGGTAAAGACTTGCAGGTTTGATCCTGGCTCACCTTGAAAGGGCAATCCCTTCCAGACGTTTATCGGATATTTACAAGGGCGAATTGCACGTGAGAATTCCATTGTTTTTCAGTGAGGTTTTGTGGTTCTTACCCTAGAACACAAGTGACTACTATGCTGGACCAGTAGCACCAAGACATACTCAACCTAAATTTTGTTTTTCCAATTTCTCTAACATACCTAATTCTACATCGTACTCAAGGGGCACCAATCACATCACCTACGCCGTGCAGCTGACATCGAACCAGGAACACCCACCAAAACCCCCCCGTCCAATCAATACGCATACCCACTTAGTAAAGTTAGCCATCCGACACCTCTAGCGCAACATCACCAGCCGCACAAGCACCATCGCACCACACACATTCCAGAACCCACCTAGAAACTAGAAACCCTCAGACAAAGTACCGCCAAGACGGCAACCACCCCACGACACCAAATGGCAAACAACGAACACCCACGCAACAGCCCTGTTCCATGCTCATATCACCTCTCCCTCCCCCTCAAAACAAGCGCGAAAGTCCTCATCTAATCTTTTTTTTGCCCATTCCTCGTTTCGTTTGCCGCCCATAGAGTACTACGCAGGGCACACCATGTCTCGCAACCCCAGATGCCAAATGCCCAGTGATCCAGCCTCCGCGTTTCACATATACTATACGCACACCTCATACGTATGGCCTTTGCGTTTGCGGTTTTTGTTCGTGCAAATTTGCGAGGTATTCTAAAACAAGGCTCGTGCGCGAGTGTTGTACCGGCTTGGCGGGAGTTAAGTAAATAGCGTGCGCGTATAACGGGCTTTTATGCGTTGGATGAAGTGTGGATAGTTGAGCGAGGGGGGTGGGGGAATGGGTTGGGCAGTGTTAAGCATTACGTCTATAAGTATTAATAGTATTTTCTCCAGCGTTTGTTTCTCAATCTATAAAAAAATCTCATTGTATATGGTGAATGTAATATTAGTATACTATGTCGCCCGCGTATACTGTTGTTGTCAGGAGGAGGGCGATCCGCCCCACCACGCCATCAGCCCAGCATTGAATTCTCGAACCCGCCTATTCATCTCCTGGATATCATCTGTCTTCAATCCGCGCTTCGGCCAATCCAACATTTCGAGCAGCGCCCATGTAATATCTCGGGACCAGGTTGGTACAACCGAGGATTGGTTCCGGAGGCGCCATTCTCTGAAAGACACTCTGGCGACAAGGTATGGCCGTTCTTTTTCCCAGCGCTCGGCTACGGGCAGAGATAAGATATGCGCGTTCCATGCTGCTAGTGTGTCGTGGAAGTCTGTGGCGCGGCGGAAGGTGAGGTAGATGGCAACGAGGCTGAGCCACTGGTCGAGGAAGAGCTGGTAGGTTGTGTTGCGGTAGTCAAAGGGGCTTTTGGACAGAGTTGTGTCGAGGGATCTGATGTCGGCGATGAGGGTAATCGTGTCTTCGAGGACCTGGGTATGTTGGGTTTGCAGGTCGAGGGCGCAAGGGAGGTTGAGTGCGAGTTGCGCGCGGTACATGGAGCGCTGATTGATTTGAGTTTGGTCCTTCAAGGGCAGCGTGACAATCAGTGAGGGCGGCTCTGCAGATTCTCTGTCTTCGGCCGCCAGCGATGGTCTAGGCGAGCTCTGTACTAAGCTTGCTTCCTCATATCTGGCCTCTTGGGCGCTTGCTACCGCAATAACGTCATCGTCACGCTCTTGAGCTGTCTCAGTGTGCTCCTGCTCTCCAGTGTTGACGGTGGTTACTGGAGGTCTATTCGACCCCACCCAGGGAGATGAATAGTCTCTTCTCTTCAACCTAGTGGTTCGTCTTCCAGACTCATCTAACTGCTTTGATTTAAAGTCTGTGAGAGCAGTTTCCCCTTGCCTATATCTTGCGCGTTTGTTTTGGATAGTGTATCCGCCTGTTTCTTCTTCATAATCAGAGTCTGCACTTGAAACTTGGTCCAAAGGCGGTGTCGGTATGCGTGGATCGTCTGGATATAACGTTTCTCTCACCTGGCCGTCCTCATCCGCATCTGTGACACTTCTTCTCATCGTGGAAGCGCTGTCCACAGCTGTATACTGTAGCATGACAGAAGTTGAAGATCCCCCCCCTGTATATGTGTTGGGAACCATCTGAGCTACAGCTACGCGGTAGTGATCGGCGTCCCGTGAGCGTTTGTCGCCACTCGAAGCTGAAGAAATGGTATTGATGGTTGCGATACCGGGGTCTGGTGGAGTTGTGCTTGAGCGTACGATTTCAGGAATATGGGAAGTTGCGCGTGGCAATCCCGCCTGCATAGCAACATCATTGGTAGGACGGCCTTTCAACCTGTAAAACATGCATTGCAGTACCAGGCTGTAGGTATAAGTCCGTATTCTGAAACAATTTGTCAGTTTCGTGCCCTAAATCTCATACAAAGTTGTGCAACTTACTTTACGCGATCGCTCTCGTCGCTGTAGATGAGGTGGCGTGGGTAGCTTTGATCTTTTTCGCCCTGATCGTCGGTTTTGGTCACAAAGCCCAAATCCCCGTTATTCCAGACCTGTGGACCATACTTGTCGATGAGGTCTTCGACCTCTTGTTCCTCAAAGTTATTCTGGGTTTTGATCTTCTCATGGAGGTCGGCTCGCGATCTGTATCGTCCTGATATCACATTTGCCACATCTTTGGAAGCGTTGTAGAAATCACCTGCTACGCCTTCAAAACCTTGCAGACCGCGCCGCGAATCCCTGTTCGATAGTTTACGAAGCCCAAGAAGATATATGTATTCGTATTGTCTTGCATTTGTGGTAGTAGATTTAAGGAGTATCGTTTTGATCTCTGCCTGTGTGAGTGGTGCCATCGTTGCTTCGACAAGCTAGAGAAACGCAAGGTTGAACAGGATCTAGCCTTAGGAGCTTTGTTGAAAAAAAAACTAGTAATATAATGGAAAAGAGAGCACAAGTTTGATAAAGATCTCAGTTAGAGCAGACGGATGTTTGCTTTAAAGAAAGTTCGCAAGAATCAACAAACAGAGATGTCTCAGTCATTGGGCCTAGTCGGGACCCATAGGAGATTCCCTTCAAAACCCCCCCAGTCTCGAACTCGGACACATGCATCTGCAGCCCGTATAGCATACGGATTTGCAATACACAGGAGCGAATTTTATTGGATGGATTCACCCTTGCTCCAACGATGAAACGCTCATCAAGCCACCGTAAAAGATCAGACCAGCACCAAGAAGAGGTCCTCCTAATCCCCAGTCACGAAACTGTCCGTTCGAACGGTGCGCGTGACATACATCCAGTCTGCTGCCGAGATGACCTCGCCCCAGCTCTGAGGGGGCACAGACAATTAGAACTCTTGGTCACGGTACAATTGCTAGGGGCCAAACGGAATAACACAATTGTTGAGCGCCACATGTGGTCAGTTCTGAGGGCTGTGCGATGCCTACGGTGGTTGAATTCAGGTATCTGACCCGATCCTAAGTCAACACAGCTTTTCTTTCATCTCACAACGTTCTCTGTATACGTTTTGTGTTCTTCTATTCTGTTAGTAATGGAGTAAGTATGTATTTCTGATGTCAAATAAAGTGTATCTTCCGCAACTACTTCTCCCTAGGAGCTAGGCGGGTATACCAACTAGATACCCTAGCAGAAACTAGGTTCTATTACGCATTAGAGATCGGCAAGTGGCTACTAGATTTTACGCCGTTCGTCTAGGCAACAGTCTCATACACCCCGGAATCCCTAGAAACGATAGGGACATCGGTGTAAGGATATGACGAGGCGCATATGCAAGGGGGCGGCGTAGGTGACAAGACTCGCCCCTTTCATTGCTTAGACCAATCACTTCTTCTTGCGCGCAATGCGCACATGCAACAAGCCACACAAGTTTGCCTGCTGTGGTGGGCGGCCACCCGTCATTTATACTAGGAGGACTTGAGTTAGTGTCTGTGTTACGTGGCGTTGTTGCTAATATCCGCTGTTATTCGTGCGGCATATGGAAGGAATCTGTTGAATGAATGAGATTTCATGCAATGTCTAATTCCGGAAAGATCAACAGGACGAGGATAAGGTGAGTGGAAACCAGTATTGTTTTGACCGTGAATTTGTAGTAGGGCAACTTGAATGAGATTCTTGAATCTAGAATTGATAGTCTGTTAGGACATCTGCGAAAAGAGACGTTTCGCATTTTTATTGTATCCAGGGTAACACGTAGAGTAATGGTATGGTTGCTTATGGTACTATAGTGATGTGTGGAATATCAGCTACGCACTCATTCTACTTCTAATGATTGTGTTTGCTATATATTATGTAACATTCCGGCTAACTAAAGTTTATTCTTGTTAGTAAGTGTAGAGAGAAATGATTCTGCTATATGCCTACAGATCCCGACCCTATGGGAAGGTGGGTTGTGGTAGTGTTATGATGAGCATAGCTAATCCGGCTAGTGAATTGTTTTGATCCAACGAACTAGTTGCCTTTTCGCATAGGTTGATCTCCTTTACTTGGACGCGTTTTATTTCTTTGCACTTGGCCACATATGCATCTTGGTCATGAAGCAGACACCTGGGCCCTAGCTAAACGAAGCTGCATACTGCAAACTGGATGATGGGGCAACAAAACTTGACTAAGACCTTGAATTAACCGATCCTGACTTGAACTTAATGTTGACTGTGAAGATCAACCCCACTTGAAAGAAACACGTATGTTCCTGTTTACCATCCCTCAGCCATTTCTAAACAATTTGCCTGTGTAAATGATTTGTTAATATAGGTTGATAGCGTTCAGAGTTGAGCTACACGGCTCTGGACCAGACGCGAAGACATGCGCAAACTGTGTCAGGCATTGCAGACCTAATATTTCGAACGCATACACCCACCAAAGCTGAGCAGCCCAATTGGCGTAATCGATGAATGGTGCTGATGATGGTGTGGCCATTAGTGTAGCAAAATCGGACCGGTCTGGCGGATTGATGTCAACGATGTGTCGCGCGGACCAATCAGAGATGCCAAGAAAACAGTAGGTCATCCAGTTCGAACTTCACGACCGCCACCACCTGCATCGATAACGACCGCTCGCCGGCCCCCCGAGCATCAATTGCGTGAGAGAACACATCATCCGCATTCACGATGCTCGCAAGACACGCTCCTGCCCAGAAGGCGCTCAGCGCAGCCGCACACAGAGCTCTGCCCGCGACTTCAGCAGCCACCCGCCTTTCGACCGCGGCCCCCAGCAACCGTACACAGAAGAGGACACTCGCAACAGTTCAGGATACACCGCCCAAGAGGACATATGGCGGCTTGAAGGACCAGGACAGGATCTTTCAGAACCTGTACGGACACCATGGCGCGGATTTGAAGAGCGCCATGAAGTATGGCGACTGGTACAAGACTAAGGAGATCATTCTCAAGGGTCACGACTGGGTACGGAGGTGCAATGTCTCGGAAATGCGCGGTTTAGGCTGATAGATACAGATCATCTCTGAGATCAAGGCTTCTGGCCTGCGTGGCCGAGGTGGTGCTGGTTTCCCCTCTGGTCTGAAATGGGTATGCAGCTCCACCTGCACTGGCAGACACAGCATCACTGACACGCACAGTCTTTCATGAACTTCAAAGACTGGGACAAGGACGACAAGCCGCGCTACCTGGTCGTCAATGCCGATGAGGGCGAGCCCGGAACCTGCAAGGACCGCGAGATTATGCGCAAGGATCCCCACAAGCTCATTGAGGGTTGCCTTGTCGCCGGACGTGCCATGAACGCTACCGCCGCTTACATCTACATTCGAGGTGAATTCTACCACGAGGCCACCGTGCTTCAACGCGCTATCCAGGAGGCGTACCAAGCCGGTCTCATCGGCAAGAATGCTTGTGGCTCCGGCTACGACTTCGATGTGTACATCCACCGAGGAATGGGTGCCTATGTCTGCGGTGAGGAGACTTCCCTCATCGAGTCACTAGAGGGCAAGCCCGGAAAGCCCCGTCTCAAGCCCCCGTTCCCCGCCGCTGTTGGTCTTTTTGGATGCCCCTCTACTGTTGCCAACGTCGAGACCATTGCTGTTGCACCCACCATCTGCCGCAGAGGAGGCAGCTGGTTTGCCAGCTTCGGTCGTGAGCGCAACCAGGGTACTAAGCTCTTTGCCATCTCTGGTCACGTGAACCACCCTTGCACTGTTGAAGAGGAGATGTCTATTCCCCTTCGCGAGCTCATTGAGAAGCACTGTGGAGGTGTCCGTGGCGGCTGGGACAACCTCAAGGCCGTCATTCCTGGTGGCTCTTCTACCCCCATCCTGCCCAAGCACATCTGCGATGACCAACTTATGGACTTTGACGCCCTTAAGGACTCGCAGTCTGGATTCGGTACTGCTGCCGTTATCGTCATGGACAAGTCGACCGACGTCGTCCGTGCCATTACCCGTCTTGCAAAGTTCTACCACCACGAGTCCTGCGGCCAGTGCACGCCTTGCCGAGAAGGCTCGAAGTGGACGCACCAGATCATGGACCGCTTTTACAAGGGCCAGGCTCGCGAGCGTGAAATTGACATGCTCCAGGAGTTGACCAAGCAGGTTGAGGGACACACAATCTGTGCGTTGGGTGAGGCATTTGCATGGCCCCTGCAGGGTCTTATCAGGCATTTCCGACCGGAGCTTGAGGCCAGGATAAAGGACTACGGACTAAAGCACGGCGGCGAGGCGTTGGCGGGAGGCTGGGCACACGATGCTGCCAAGAAGGGCCAGCTCATCGCGCCCGGACAGTAGATGTGGGCGCATGTGTGTTGAGCATGTTTCTTGAAGTTCTTGAATTCTTTTCTTTTCGGCATGCTGTTTACTTTGAAAGAGCTGAGCTGTAAATACATGGTTTCTCGGTGCAAAATAAACAAAGCAAGTTTGAAACCGAATCGGCAAAAAAAAATGAGCATTCTCAGGGAACCAAATGTGAAAATGGGGTGAAGCCAACGCCGCAAAACGCCGTGCAAAAGACTATATAATACGTAGCACACTGTAAAAACAAAACCGCATTTCCACTGCCCTTTGGCCTTTTACGTTCCCATACAGATTTGAATAAACTCTTCCCTGCTTATAGCATTGTCGTTATCCATGTCAAACTCTTCAATCATAGCCACCAACTCATCATGCGAAAGCGCCTCGCCCAGCTCTCTAGCCACCCGGGTGAGATCCTGCAGCGTAATGGTACCCTTCCCGCCCTCATCGAACAATTCAAACGCCCGCAGAATCTCGTCTCGGGGGTCGCGACTCAGTATCCTCTGTGCCATGAGCGTCTGAAAAGCCTGGAAACTAAGTAATTGGCGGCCTGGACCCGCATATTGCTGCTGGCGTTGCTTCGAGTTCTGAGCTCCCGCCGACGACGATGATGAAGGCACAGGCGAGCCGTGTTGTTGGAGAATGGCTAGTATTTCTTGTTTGGGGAGGTCGAAGCCGAGGGCCTTCATGGCGACTTTGAGTTCGTGGTAGTCGATGTAGCCGTCCTTGTCGAGGTCGAAGAGGTTGAAGGCTTCGCCGATTTCTTCTCGTTGCTCCTCGGTCAGCTCTGCGAGCGAGGCCGCGCCGGTGGCTTCCATGCGCTGAGCGGATTCGCGGGCGGCGCGCTCGCGTTCGAGGCGGTCGGATTCGAGGCGTTGGGCGTTTTTGGGGTTTGGGGCGTAGGCGGGTGTGCTGCTGAAGCCGGGTTGGGCGGCGGGTTGAGAGGGTGCTGCTGTGCGGCCCAGGCCGTAGCGGGGGCCGGGGCCGAGGGTGTTGGATGATGTAGCCATGGGTGGTGGTGTGCAGAAGGGATTGCGGTGTGCGCGGTGGGTTGGTGGGGGGAAGCGCAAGTTTGGAGTGTTTGCGGAGTGTTCTAGTGAG